ACTCACAATTATGCTCCCGGCAAACGTCTAGCTATAATGGTACTCACCCCCGACATCAGTCTTCCCATCTGTAAAGTGGACTAACAGCAGCGGCAACCTCACGAGGCTGTTTCGACGATTAAACAATCAAATAACACGGGCAGGTGGTGCCCCATAATGCCAGCTGTTATGATTAGTGGTGTCCCCTCGGTCCATCTCCTTGGCCCCTCCCTGAGAATTGGAGATATCTTTTGCCTCACTATCTCCCAGAACCTTGCACATTTCAAGAACCTTAACAAGCAGTACTCGCTGGAAGTGCCACCAGAGTCCCCCAGCACTGTACAGTCAATCACCCCAGAAACGAGCTCTCCCATGATCCTTATGATACCAGACAGTGGGCACTGCTGCCACGTGCACGGAATCATTGTTTGCAGTGGGGGCTGCCCTACACGCTGTCCCATGTTGAACCACATTCCTGGCCTGTAGACCCCTTTGACACCGGTAGCACCCCCGCCCCCCGCAATGACAACCAGAAATGTCTCCAGACATTTCCCAAGCGTCTGCAGAGGAGGCAGGATCACTCCTGGTTGAGAACCACTATGGTACAGGAATGCCTGCCTGTCCCCATTCATCAGAGGAGGAAACTGAGGTGCAGAGGTCAAGACCTTTGCCTAGTCCCATGGCTGGGCAGGGTGGCGCTAACCATACAATTTCACTCTCTCTATCATAATGTGTTTGCCCGCCTTTACCTAACCCTCTCCCTCTGCTCGATTCAGAAAACACGACTGTGACACAGTCTAAGTCCTCACAGTCTTTAAGGACTAGACAGTGACCAAGACCACACAACGAGCATAACCTCTGCAGCACCTGGTCCTCACCCCCACCTGATGTGCGGGCCACCTCCCCGGCTCTGCAGCCACTCCAGGGGAAGGCATTCTGGGCTGAGGGGACACAGGAGCAAACCTGGGGAAGCAAGGACATGCAGGCGGCTGGGGGCCAGCACAGGCCACCCGCAAAGGCTGCTGTTGCAGCCTTCTGAAGAGGAGAGAGGGGTGACTGGCAGATGGCTCCAGAGCTGGGTGTGAAGGAAGGCCTCGCGTGCCTCAGTTTCCCCGTGTACCAAATGGTGATGACAACACGCAGGACTTGCTAGTCATGGGCTTAAATGAGTTAAAATGTGTCAAAGTGCTCAGAGCAACCCAAGAAGAAGAAGAGGTGACGAGGGATACAGAGGACCCAAGAGAGGGACCGGAGTGGCATGAACACCGCCTCTGTGTTTCCAAGCCTGGGTGCCCCACCCTGGCTTGGCAGGCTCTCCCTCCCCCTCTCAGGCTCTGGCAAGGATGCAGATAACTCCGGGTTCAGGCCTCTCTGGGGCAATCCCCAACTCTCTCGAAAGCTCCTGCATCCAGGCTGACCCCTCTGACAGATCCTAAGATTTGCCCAAAGCCCAGCTCAAGAACCTGCTGGGGCTCCCTGCTGCCCGATTTCAAAATGCCCTGGATGCGGGCCAAAGGCTCTAAACTTTCATGCAGGATAAGGAGATGCAGGAGACACTGAGACAGGACTTCCCTTCCCTGCGAATGGCACAAACTAAGGATCTCCATCTCCACCCTGCGGTCATCCCTCACCCCTTCCCTCTAGAAAACAAAATGTTTAGAGCAATTTAGCGGGAGATTGGCAATTATACTCAACAAAAGGTGTGAAAGTGCTGGCCCCAGGGCCTAGAACACCGGCTCCTCCCAGCCGCAGAGCCACCCCCACCCCCCAGCTAATTTCTTTCTTTCTTTCTTTCTTTTTTTTGAGACAGAGTCTCACTCTCTTGCCTGGGCTAGAGTGCCGTGGCATCAGCCTAGCTCACAGCAACCTCCAACTCCTGGGCTGAAGCGATCCTCCTGCCTCAGCCTCCCGGGTAGCTGGAACTACAGGCACGTGCCACCATGCCTGGCTAATTTTTTCTATTTTTAGTTGTTTGGCTAATTTCTTTCTATTTATAGTAGAGACGGGGTCTCGTTCTTGCTCAGGCTGGTCTGTCTTTCTTTTTTGAGACAGAGTCTGGCTCTGTCACCCGGCAGAGTGCAGTGGCGCCATCGCAGTTCACTGCAACCTCCAGCTCCTGGACTGAAGCAATCTCCTCTAGCCTCAGCCTCCCAAGTAACTGGGACTAGAGGTGCCAGCCACCAGGTCTGGCTAATTTTTTTCTATTTTTGGTAAAGGTGGGGTCTCACTCTTGCTCAGGCTGGTCTCCAACTCCTGACCTCAAGTGATCCTCCCATCATGGCCTCCTGGAGCGCTAAGATTACAGGTGTGAGCTACTAGGATGGTCATTCATTTCCTATTATTCAGATCTTAGCTCTCCTTGGAAGCCTTCCCTGACCACCCAGTGGAAATCTCTCCATTCCCTACTAGTGCACTCCAACTTCACCAAGTTACATCATCTCTGTAAACATACGGGCAATCTGAAGTTATCTGGACCGTTTGCTTGTCTGAGGTTGGTCACCTTCACTAGTATGAAAGATGCTAGAGAGCTAGCTGCTCCGGATCTGTTACTCAGGGCTGCTTCCAAGCCCCCAGCAGGGAGCCGGCCTCCAGCCCTGAAACAAAACTGTCTTAATGGGCCATCTACATGTTGCACTTGCCGCACAGTGTGGGTGCTAAGTTCTCACTGAAAAGCAGTTATTACCGGTGTCTCCGCCTCTAGCTCCAGGCCAGATCCCCTTCCCTGCCATTCGCATATCTGGGCCAACTCCCATCAGTCTCTGCCCCCCCCACCCCCACCCCCATCTGTGTGCACCAGCCCCAGCAGCCAGCTCCAGACCAACCAGGCAGGGAGGACGGTCTCTTTCCATGGGGCTGTGGGCCCAGTTCCTACTCCTCCCAGAACCAGGAGACCACCCAGAGAGGGGAGAAGGACAGGACCCAGGTTGGGTGGGGATGGGGGGTTATCCTGGGAACTACAGGGACATGAGGAAAGGGGGGGATTAGGGTGACAACCCATCATTAAACTCATAAGAACTGGCTGACACCACTTGACCCAGCAGTTTGCCGCTCCCGCCTCAGGTGCTGCGGATCCCAAACCAAAGTCCCACGGACACCCTGGTAACAGCCTTGCAATTAGCCCGGAAAGAAGGAGCAAAAGCCGGGCAGTCTGACTGGGGCCAAACAACCCAGGCAGGCGAAGCAAAATCCAGCTCCAATGCCAGACCCATCCTCATGGTCACTTCCCACGGCCAGCCCACAGCTCCGTTAACCCTGGCCTCCTGGCTCCCAGAAGAGGAATGAGGGAGAAGAGGTGACCAGGCCTCTGAGAAAGAAGCTTCCACTGTTCCAGTCCCCTGGGACACCAAGGAAACTCAGTCTGTCCCAAATGGGGACTGACCCATCCCTTGGGATGGGCAGGAGAAAAGGCCTGGGCTGAGGAGAGTCCTTGCCAGGGAATCTGGAAAGATGAGGAGCTCCTCCAGCTGTGCCCGCGGAAGGCCAGCCAGGTGACTATGGGTTTGAGCCGAGGGTCAGTCAATCCCAGTTCAGCCACTGTCTAGTCACATGACCTGGGACAAACCATGCCATCCCCTGAGCCTCAGCTTCCTTGTCTGGACCACAGAGGCCTAAGCTGACCCGGTGGTGGTGAGCCATCAATGAGCTCATCCGACCAGCAAGCTCAGCACAGGTCCTGGCCCGGGACAAGCACCCCAGAGGTAGAGTCCTGTGGCGGGTAAGCCCAAGGGCTCGGCCCTGCAACCTGCCTTCACCCGATTAGGAGCCTCCAAACCACGAGTAACACAGCTTCATACGCTCAGCTCCCTAATTCTTCACCTCCAGGGAGGGGGCCCACGAAACTCAGGCTCAGGGAACTCGTATGCCTGGGAGACCATGGCATACGATAGTAGCTATGAGGTCCCGTTCCCTAGGCTTGAGCCTCCAGGCTCTGGTCACACAAGGTACAGACAGAATCCAGGACCCTAAGACACTCAGGTAGTGTCTGTTGGGCTGCCTCTTGCAGATATATAGGGAGGCAGTGGGCGAGGGCCATCCCGGTGGTAAACAAGACGCCTGAGCTAGGTGTTCCAGATTGTCTCCAGCTGCCCACACAAACACCCACTGGCCAGCGCCTTTGAACAACTGGCAGAGGCTTGGCCAAGGGGTAGGTTGAGGCTTCAGGCATAACGTGTGTAGGGGAGAGGACAACCCCTGAGTTTGACCCCGAGCTAACACTTGGAAGTGGGGGGGCACATCTTGGCATACACTTTCTGGCCACACTAGTTTTTCCTGACCTGCCCCCATGTCCCCACTAGCCTAGCCCAAAGGATCTGCCTGCCCCCACTCCCAAAACTCCTACAGCAGTCCCTCGCCTTACCTGATCGCCCCCAGATTTGGCCTTCCCCCATCTCTCTGTGCTCTGACCTCATGTGACCCCGGCAAACATCTCCGGGATCTCCTATTCGCCCCCACCCGAACTAACTCCGCCCACACCCACCATGCCCCACTTCCTGGGCTTCTCCTCAGCCGCCCCCAGGCCTGTAACTTGACCCACCCACCTCCTCCGGCGCCCAGACAGTACCTGCAGGCCCGGCCCCTCCCCGCCCCCCTCCGGGCCGTTTTCCTCCGGCCGCTCAGCTCTCCTCTCCTCCCCCACTCGGCCGGCCCGGAGCCCGACTCCTCCTCCCCCTCCCCCTCCGGCATCCCCGGGAAGCCTCCACACTTTTTCTTCTCCAGTCCACCAACGTCCTGGGACCCCAGGCACCTGCCCTGGCCCGACCTGGCCCCCTCCCTCGCTGAGAGTGGCGGTGGGAGTCCGGGCCCAATCCCGCCACCCCAAAACCCCGAGGCCCGGCCCGGGACTGGACGCTCAAGGCCGCCCGCGGTGGCCGGGCCTCCACACATTCGCGGGCCCTAGCACAGCGCAGGCTGCGGGCCCAGCTCCTCCTCTGTCCGAGAAAACCCCCAGGCCCTCCCCCCGCAGCCCTCGGGCCGCCCCGGCGGAAGGAGGCCGGAACTGGGCCTGGGGCGGGCAGCCTCACCTGCGCCGTGGCCGCGCTCTGGGGGCTCCCGGCGGGCTCCGCAGCGGCGGCTCGGGCCGGGCCTGGGCCCGGGGCGCGCCCCCCTGCGCCGGGGCCTCGGCCTCCGCCTCCGCGGCCTCCGCCTCAGCAGCAGCGGCAGCCGCGGCGGCCATTCATTGTGGGCCAGGCCGCCCCAGCCGAGCGCCGAGCGAGCGCAAGCCGCGCCGCCGCCGCAGCCAGGCCAGGGAGGAGCGGCCGCGGCCCCGCCCGCGCACCGCCCCCAGGCCCCGCCCCCTAGGCGAGGCCAGCCGAGCTTCGAGCGCGCCCCTTCTTCCCGGCTCCGTCTCCTCTCTACGCCCCTGAGGATCCTCTCCAGTACGGTGGATATGCTGGCTAGTTCGAATCCCGACCCCGCCACCTTCTAGTCCCGGGACCTTGGGCAAGTCGCTCTACCTTTCCGAACTTCAGTTTCCTGTAAAACAAAAACAATAACGACTGCTATTTACCGTGCCAGGCACTGTTTTAGTCTCTTTATGGGAATTAGCTCCTTTAAACTTTACAGTAACATTTTTAGGTAGGAACTGTTTTACACACACACACTTTATAAAAAATAAAAGGAGGCACAGAGAGATGAAGAAACCTGATCAAGATCACGCAGCAAGGAAGTGATGGTGGGTGCCAAGATTTAAGCCCAGGCTCTAGAAGCGACAATAAAAGCTAAGACTTCTATGATGCTTATCGGATGCCAGGTTCCTTTAACATTTTACTTGCACTAACTTGTTTAATTCTCACCATGACCCAGTAACTAACGTTAAAAAAAGTTCTGCCCATCTTGAGAATGAGGAAACTTAAGTACAGAGTTAAGGAAGAGTAGCAAGGTGAGCTGAGACTCGAACCCAGGCAACCGAGACCATTAAGCTCTTCTGCCTTCATACTCCGGTTAGAACCTACTGCGTGCTTACTATGTGAGAGTGATTGCTTTGCACACCTTCCAGGCATCGTGTCATTTAATCTTTGCTCTGCCTTGTAAATTAAGATTATTATTTAAAAGATAAGGAAAGTGAGGCTCCGAGAGTTTAAGTAACTCGCCCAGAGCATGTGGTGTGACTGAGATTCAAACCCAGTAAATTCAATTCCAGAGTCTTGAATTATTACTGCAGGATGCCCTGAAGTAATGTATATAGAACCCAGCACACAGAAGACAATCAGTAGGTGTTCGGTTTCTCCGCTTACCACCCCTTTTCTGAGCCACAACTCCCTCATCTCTGAAATGGGACCAGTGACGTGTTCTCTCCCAGGGGAGTCGCTGTCATTAAGGGACCCTGCGCACAACATGATCAGCGCGCTTCCTTTCTGCTATGCATTTTGATCCTGGCCCCCAACCGTAAGTACCATCACTGATTGGCTAACTACTGTCATGTGATTCGCCCACCCACTGTGCCAATATGGCGGCGCCCAGGTCCTAATTTGGGAAATGTGCACTAAGACTAGTTTGGTTTTCTGTGTCACGATAGAAGGTGACGAGGAGCTGGGTGGCACGAGCAGGGATCCGGACTGGAGGCGGGCCCGCACGAGAGCTTCCGGCTCCGCAGAGGTCAGTCCCCCTGAAAACGGGGTGGTGTCAGCTTACTGGGGCCGCAGGGTCTCCTTAGTCCCTATTTTATAGATGTGAAGGACACTGCTGGCCCCGTAATACAGCTCTCTGAACTTCTCTCTATGCCCTCCTCCCACTCCGCCCCCCGAACCAGGCTTGGCGGGCAGAGGCGCCCGCGGATGTCCCATGCGAGAATCGTTCCGTGGCTAAGCCTCACTCTCCGCTCCGCCCGCAGTCTCTGTAGAGCTCGGTTTGCGGAGGGGCAGTCCCAAGGGCCGCTGAATCCATCAACGATGGAGAACGGCACTGGACCCTGCGCAGAAGAGCGCCCACGCGAGGTCCAGGAGACGACAGTCACCGAGGGGGCCGCCAAGATCGCCTTCCCTAGCGCCAACCAGGTCTTCTATAACCCGGTGCAGGAGTTCAACCGGGACCTGACGTGAGCAGGGATCAGGGGTCAACCTGGCTGAGGGGAGTAGTGGGTCAATGAGGATGAAGGGGTATGAGCTGATCCTCTGTCTCCTGCCAGATGTGCTGTGATCACCGAGTTTGCTCGCATGCAGCTTGGGGCCAAAGGAATCCAGAGTGAGTGGGGAGGTCCAGGCTCCTGGTGGGCGGGGGTCACACAAAGCTTTCTTCCTTTCTGGGCATCTCTCCCTGGAAACCCCAGAAAGGCTCCAGCTACATAGCAGGCCCTGGGCTGTGCTCCCTCAGCCTTTCCCTGGGGTCTTTGGGAAGATTTTCTTCCACTAATCTCCTGTATTCTGAAGATTAAAGGGAGGTTTCTCAGAATGTGGCTTCAATACCCCCTGACTTGTGCCTTTTGGGTGGCTGCAGTCAAGGTGCCAGGTGAGAAAGACGTGCAAAAGGTGGTTGTGGCCTTGTCGGAGCAAGAGGAGGAAAAGGTTGAACTGAAAGAGAGTGAAAACCCAGCCCCAGGAGACCAACCTCGAATAGCCGTCGTGGGGGAGATCTGTGAGGTGGGACCTGAGCATAGGAGGTGGCAGCTCTGGAATTTAGTGGGTGACAGAGGGAGGAGGACTCCTGGAGGGGGAGAGCCATAGGAGGTGGGTGATGGGAGTTCCCTGGGGCCCAGAAAAGGATAGAGATTGAGATGTGAGTGGGGCTCCCTGCTTACTCAACAGGAGGGCCTGCGGGTGCTGGAGGGCCTGGCTGCTTCCGGCCTACGTTCCATTCGATTCGCCCGAGAGGTGCCTGGACTCCGATCTGTGGTTGCCAATGATGCATCTGCCCGAGCCATGGATCTCATGCGCCATAACGTGCAGCTCAATGATGTGGCCCACCTGGTACAGCCCAGCCAGGCAGATGCCCGGTAGGTTCTGAGTAGCACAGCGTAGCACTAGAGCAAGGCTGCCTGGGGTCAAATCCTGACTCTATCATATTCTCCCTGTATGACCTTGGGTTAGTGACTTAGCCTCTTTGAGCCCTAGTTTCCTTGTCTGTCAAATGAGAACAGTAGTTTTACAGGGGTTGCTGTGCTGATTAAATAGTAGATAATGTGCCAGAAATAAGTAGCATTTGCATTTCCTCATCTGCAAAGGGAACAATAATAGTTCCCAGCCCATGGAGTTGTTTGGAGGATTGTGTCTTTAAATGTGTTAAAAGTCTATAAACTGCTTGAAACAGTGCCAGGCATGTTATGTCCTATATCTGTATTGGCTATTATCATTGTCGTTGTTATAGATGGATAGACTAAGGCCCATCTAAGGAAGAAAATCATGTAGTTAATAAACGGCCAAGCCAGGACGTGAACCTGGGAAGCTGGCCCCTGAGTTCACCGCACTGTAGGAGTTAAGATGTGTAGGGAACAGAGCAGGTACCTGGTGCAGAAGGCTGAGGACCTGGCCCTCTTGCACCCAGGATGCTGATGTACCAGCACCAGCGGGTGTCAGAGAGGTTTGATGTCATCGACCTGGACCCCTATGGCAGCCCTGCCCCCTTCCTGGACGCAGCTGTGCAGGCTGTGAGTGAAGGAGGTGAGGCTGGGATGATGCTGGGGTATGGAGCTGGGCTGGGGGTGTTTGGAGGGTCCTCACCGCCCAGCCCCTCCCCACAGGGCTGCTGTGTGTGACCTGCACGGACATGGCGGTGCTGGCAGGGAACAGCGGGGAGACATGCTACAGCAAGTACGGGGCCATGGCCCTCAAGAGTCGGGCCTGCCATGAGATGGTGAGGGGCCCTGCCAGCTGGCCAGGGAGATCAGGGGTTGGGCTCTGAGTCATCCCCCCTGCCCCCCAGTACACCTTCCCCCCCCTCAGGCCCACTCAGCTTCCTGCAGGCAGCCAGGGCCAGATCTATCCCAGGTTATTAACGATAAGTACATCTTTAACTGGCGTAGTTCCCAAGAGCATGAGCTCCTAATCGTGGTCATTTTGGGGCAGCGGCTTTGTCCAGGATAAGAGTGGGTGGTTACATTATTCTAGTATTTGTGTTATAACAACTTTTTAAAAAAAATTTTTTAAGGTAGTTTTTCCAGATCTAGGTTCAAATCCTAACTTTGCTGGTGGCTCTGGGCAAGTGACTTGACTTTGCCTTTCCGGGCCTCAGTTATTTTTTTGATTTTTGTTGTTTGTTTGTTTGAGACAGGGTTTTGCTCTGTTGCCTGGGCTAGAGTGCAGTGGTGTCATCATACCTTACTACAAACTGCTGGGCTCTAGTGATCCTCCTGCCTCAGCCTCCTGAGTAGCTGGGACTACGGGCACGCATCACCGCATCCGGCTAATTTTTTCTATTTTTTATAGAGACAGGGGTCTCACTCTTGCTCAGGCTGGTCTCAAACTCCTGGCCTCAGAGCAATCCTCCTGCCTCGGCCTCCCAGAGTGCTAGGATTACAGACCTGAACTACTGTGTCTGGCCTGGGCGTCAGTTTTTGCATCTGTAAAATGGGCACAATGATGGCCTGCTCCTATGGGGCTGCTGTGGGGATTCAAGAAGTTTGGGGCTATGTTGAGGGGCTGGGAAAAGAGGGGTCCTTGTGCTTGTTCCATAAGGGCCCTGTCATCATGTCAGTTTGGGAAATGTTTCCTTTCCCATGTCGGAGTCTCCTGGCAGCCCCGAGCAAGAAGGCCCCGGCAGTTCTGCAGCACCTAGTGTCCCCAGTTCTTGTCCACAGAGCCCTTGGGGGCCGGAGCATAGGTCCTCAGCCCACAGTACACACCACAGGCCACGCTGATGGTGCTAATTGAAATAGGTCCAGTTTATTGGGCCTGTGCCCCCAGCAGTGCCACAGAGAGACAGGGACTGTTGTGATTTTGCAGATGAGGAAACTGAGGCATATAGCGTTGGTACTCACTTGTTTAGGGTCCCACAGCCAGGACACTCAGGACTGCGTTTGGAAGCCAGGGATCCCACATCCCTGAGCATGTGCTTGTGATTGCTGTGTGTGGCTCCTGAGGTGGGGGGGATGGTGGAGGGAGGGATGATGCCCACCCCCTGCCCCACCCCCAGGCCCTGAGAATCGTCCTGCACAGCCTGGACCTCCGCGCCAACTGCTACCAGCGCTTTGTGGTGCCACTGCTTAGCGTCAGCGCCGACTTCTATGTGCGTGTTTTTGTTCGTGTCTTCACTGGCCAGGCCAAGGTCAAGGCCTCAGCCAGGTCAGCTTGGTCGGGAGAGGGGTGACGGATTGAGGAAGGAGACAGGGCCTTGCCCTGGGGGATCTGGGGGTTCTAAAGAGCACTGGGCCAGTCTGAGGGAGGAGTTGGGGTGTGGCGACCACACTGAGAACTCATGGCGATTTCTGGCTCCCCCCCAACAGCAAGCAGGCACTGGTGTTCCAATGTGTGGGCTGCGGGGCCTTCTACCTCCAGCGCCTGGGCAAAGCTTCGGGAGCCCCGGGCAGCCGGTGAGCCTGCGTGTGCTGGGGAGGAAGGTGAAGGGGTGTCCCAGAAGGTCGCCACCTTCTAACCTCCCCTCTCTGTGCAGGGTCAAGTTCTCTGCAGCCTGTGGTCCCCCGGTGACCCCCGAGTGTGAGCACTGTGGGCAGCGACACCAGGTAGGGCTGGGCCGGGGGAGGCGAGAGGGGCGCAGGGGTCCTGGAGGTCACAGTCCCTGCTCACCTGTCCCCTGCGTTTGTGTAGCTTGGTGGCCCCATGTGGGCAGAGCCCATCCATGACCTGGACTTTGTGGGCCGTGTCTTGGAGGCTGTGAACGCCAACCCCAGCCGCTTCCACACCTCGGAGCGGATCCGAGGGGTCCTGAGTGTCATCACTGAGGTGGGGGCCGGGCTGTGACAGGGAGGGGGCTCCCCCTACGTCCGCCCATCTCTGCTCAGGCCCATCCCTTCCACCAAACCCCTCGCAGGAGCTGCCGGACGTGCCTCTCTACTACACGCTGGACCAGCTCAGCGGCACCATCCACTGCAACACACCCAGCCTCCTGCAGCTGCGGTGAGCGCCCTCCTGGGGCGGGGAGGAGCCCTTCCTTGACTGCAGAGGCCTTTTGGCAAGTCACCCCATCGAGTCCAGGGCTTCTTGTGCACAAGTGCTTAGAAAAGAACTCAGAGAGGCCATGAGCCCTCGCCAGGGGTTAGTCAGCACGAGAAGTGCACCTGCGCCAGTCCATGCAACACAGGTCAGCCTGGGCTTTGGGGTCCAGCCTCCCCCTCACGATCCCTGTGGGTCCCCAGGTCCGCCCTCCTCCACGCTGGCTTCCGGGTCTCCCTCTCCCATGCCTGTAAGAACGCAGTGAAGACAGACGCCCCCGCCTCGGCTCTCTGGGACATCATGCGCTGCTGGGTGAGCGAGGCCAGGCTGACCACCTGGGGGTGGAAGGGCAGGTGATGGTCACTTGGACGGCCCTGGGAACTCAGCATCCCCTGACCTCTGACCTCCGCCCCCAGGAGAAGGAGTGTCCTGTGAAACGGGAGCGCCTGTCGGAGACCAGCCCGGCATTCCGCATTCTCAGCGTGGAGCCCAGGTACGGGCACGCTTGTGTGTAAGACAGCAGCGAAGCACACACAGGTGCAGATGACACAGACACTTCCCCTGTAGACACCTGCTCATTTTTCAAGTGAGATCCAGAATCCACTTATTTCTCCCACCCTGGTCCCCCTCCCCCAATCTGCCTTCGTCCCCACCATCTGTTCCCGCACAGTGGCCAGAGGGCACCTGTGCACAACTTGAGTCAGGGCACGTCCCTCCTCTGCGATACCCACCTCACTCTGTAGAAGCCCCTGGAATGCCTGTCCCGGGTACCCCCCACGGCTCTTCCCTCATCTCCTTCTGTCTAACATTGCACCCCCTCCCGTCTCTCTGTTCCCTTTACCAAAATGCTTATCTCCCACCCTGATACACAACGTAATTTACTTATTTCTGATTTATGCTGTTGCGTGTTTGTCTCCCCAACTAGAAAGTCACATTACCAGGGGAAGCTTTTTTTTTTTTGAGACAGGGTGTTGCTCTGTTGCTTGGGCTAGAGTGCAGTGGCGTCATCATAGCTCACTGCAACCTCACACTCCTGGGCTCAAGCGATCCTCCTGCCTCAGCCTCCCGAGTAGCTGGCACTACAGGTGTGCACTACCACGCCTGGCTAGTTGTTAAAAAATTTTTCGTAGAGGTGGGGTCTGTGTTGCTCAGGCTGGTCTCAAACTCCTGGCCTCAAGTGATCCTCTTGCCTTGGCCTCCCAAAGTGCTGGGATTACAGGCGTGAGCCACAGAGCCCAGCCCCAGGGGCAGCTTTCTGTCCATTTTGCTCACTGTGTATTCCCAGCACTGAGAACAATGTAGACACACAGTTGTAAAATATAAATGTTTATTAGATGAGTGAGACAATCCCAACGTGGGCAGATACCCTGTGCTGCCTGGAGGTGGGCAGACCCCATGGGCGGTCCATGCACACCCGCTTGGCAGCTGGCGGCTGCCCCCATCCCCCAACCCCCACTTCCCCAGGCTACAGGCCAACTTCACCATCCGGGAAGATGCCAACCCCAGCTCCCGCCAGCGAGGACTCAAGCGATTCCAGGCCAACCCGGAGGCCAACTGGGGTCCCCGGCCCCGTGCCCGGCCAGGGTGAGTGGCAGTGTTGTGGGGGTGGGGCTCGGCCAGGGCAGGGGAGGGTGAAGGCCAGATGGGGCTCCAGCTACCCATCCCCTTGCGCAGGGGCAAGGCGGCCAGCGAAGCCATGCAGGAGAGACGCCGGCTACTGCAGAGTAAGCGGAAGGAGCCAGCTGAGGACCCAGCCCAGCGGGCTGCTCGGCTCAAAACATTTCCTTGCAAGAGGTTCAAGGAGGTGAGGTGACACCTGCCTCTCACTGTGGGCAACAGGGGAAGAATTGGGGGAACTGGGGCAGGGCAGGCACTTGGGAGTGAGCTTCCCCTCCAGGAAAGGAACGCAGTGGGGGCTGTTGAGTGCCAGGTGGGGCTTCACACCTGCTGTCTTCCCACCAGGGCACCTGTCAACGGGGGGACGAGTGCTGCTATTCCCACAGCCCCCCAACACCCGGGGCCTCTGCTGACAGGGCCCCCACTGACTGCCCAGAGACCTCCAACCAGAACCCCTCTGGGCTTGGGGCTGCTGCTGAGCCTGGCATAGACTGAGTCAATAAAGAGATGTCACCTTCCTCTGATTGTCATTGGTCTGTATGGGGAGGCTGCCTGGGGTCGGTCTATCCATGTGCCCGAGGGGCTCTGCCCATCCGTCCAGCTGCTTTACTGGGGTTGGTGCCTCTGTCCCTCTAACTCCCTACGGGGAGCTGTGTGCATCTGCCCATCTGGGGGGTCGTTTGTCCCCGCCTGACTGGGGTGTTCTGTCTGTATAGGGGGATCCCCGTGCAGCAGGTGGCACTGAGTGCTCCCTGCCCACCTACCCCAGAGCCGGCGCCTGCGGTTCCCGAGGCGGCCGCGGGGCGGCAGCCGTGCGCTCGCGCCCGCGGGGCTTCTCCACCCCCATCCCCTGCCCCATCTCCAGCGCGCTCCGGCCGCGGGCACGCGCGCAGGCGGGCGCTCCAGCCAGGGAGCCCCCTACGTGTCCTAGCGCGGCTGCCTCCTCGCCGCCTGGTTTCTTTGGCCCAGCTCCCCCGGGGCCGCAGTGGCGGAAGCCGGACCGGAACCAGGCGCCCTATGCATCCGCTCCAGACCAGGTGCTTCCTGCCCTGCGGCCCAGGGGCTGTGCGCACAGCGAGGGACCCGCCGGCTGCTGCCCAGACACCCAGTGGGGAGGAGGAGCTGCATCTCCCCTTCCCCCCACTCCCAGAGTGAAGGGTTAGAGTTCTGGGGCAGGATCCCGTCTCTGCCTCTTACACCCTTCGTCCCCATCAGTAAAAGGAAGCTAATCTGAGACCCCATCTTGTAGGGTTAACTCACACGCTTGAAACTCCCGCTCTAGTTTCCCAGGGAGAAAGCAGTGGAGCTGTAGATTGTGGAGACCTGGGCTTCACTCCATTCCTGAGAGGGTGGTGGCAATGTCAGTGCTGGGTTCCTTCCTGGGGGCTCCTGCAGTCACCCAGATACACAGGGAGCAAAGCATGCCTGACCCAGGTGGGTGGCAGCCGTGTGGCTGCTGCTACCTCGATAGCTGTGACCAGAGCTTGTCCCTTTGTGAAGTTTCAGGGGAATCTTAAATTTCACCCTGCAGGTGCTGTGGGGTGTGGGCCAGGGACCACAAAGTTGGGGCTACGTGATCCTGTGGCCAAAAGGCCCAGAAGTGTGGGGACCCTTTGAGGCGTCTACTAGAAGGTCACACCAGCCCTGGCACCCCTCGGAAATGCTACACTCCCCCACCCCCACAGCCGTAGCACTTCCTCTCACCCTCCTGGGCCTGGAAATGTGTTGTGGATAATACACTGAGGGCCCAGGACACCTGCCCAGGCTGGACACCTAAGTACAGACTGTTAGAACTGTCCCCCCTCCGGTGCCCCACTGCCGGATGGGGGTGGCAGAGAGGCCGGGAGGGGCTCTGTAAAAAGAGGAACCAGGCCGGGTGACGAGAAGGAGGGGGCCCCTGGTCATGCGGCCCCAGCGGGGCGGAAAGGGCCCTCCCTCACCATCAAGCACTGACACTCGGGCAGGGGGTGTTCTAAACCAGAGGGCAGACCCAGAGGCTTCCCTGCCTCAGTTTACCCGCTACGTGCATCCGGGCGCTTCCGCGGGGGTTGGGCCCTGAGGCCAGGGTCCCCAGAGGGCCTGGGCCCCTCCAGTGCCTGGGGGAGCGGAAGGTGAGGACCTGAGGGGTGACGGGCCGAGTCCTGCCCGCGCCGGCCAGGGGCGGGGCCGGGAGGCCCGCGCTCCGCGATCCCCGCCCGCCGGCTTCCTCCGGGGTCAGCCCGGCTCCTTATCAGGCGCGGCCAGGCGGCCAGGCCCTTATCTGCGCCGGCCCAGCATCCTCCGGCCGCTGCTCCGGGGGTGAGCAGGAGGAAACCGGGCCGCCGGGGGGCGGGGAGAGGGCGGGCCGGCCCGGGAGCCGCTCACTTTCCCTCGGGGGACCCACGCCACCACCGCGGCCGCCTCGGCCCTGTGGAGCCCAGGAGGAGGCGCGGCCCAACACCGGGCGGAACGGGCGGCCTGGAGCGCAGAGGCCGGACCTGAGCGGCACAGTGGAGCGTGGCCTGACGCTGGAAACTGCATCCTGGCCCAGACTGCCGGCCCCGACGGCACAGAGCCAGGGCACTCACCAGGCTGCGGGAACAGCGAAGGGGTAAGAGGGCAGCCGGCCTGAATGAAGGAAGGTGGAGTATCCTGGGGGGAGGGAGGGAACTCTGCCTGCATTCCTTTGTTCATTCATTCATTCATTCATCAGCAGGGACCCACTACCTGAGGGGCCAGGCCACCCTCCTCAGGGCCTAGCTTAGGAAGACAGGCAGAGGGCCAGGAGTCCCACAGAGTCCCCAGAGTCCCACCCCAGGCTCTGGAGCCAGGAGTGAACAGGGATGTCAACGCAGCCTGCAGAAGTGTGGATGCTGATGTGGGTGGGGACCCCAGAGCCAGAGGGAGGATCGGGGCATGACTGGGACTGGACTGGGCAGTGTTTGGGGGTCCTGGGGTCAGCATTTGAGGTCATTGTGTCAGCAGTGGGGTCACAGGGTTAGTAAAGGGGACATTTTCAGTGGGGTTGGGGGTCACTAGAGCCATTACTGAGAACCTTCAGGGTCAGATGTGGAAGCAATGGGAAGCAGCTCAGGTCATACCTGAGGTGCAGAGGGTCAGCCTGGGGGGGCGGCGGTCAGTGAAGGGTCAGAGACAATCTTGGAGAGATTCCAAGGTCACATGGTGTCAGTGAGTCAATGAGGGGTCTCAGGATCATATTTCTAGATGTGAGGGTGACAGGGCCAATCTTGGGGTTTCAGGGGGATCCCAGGATCAGTCAGGAGCTTCCTGCCTGACCCCTCTCCAGGCTGCAGGTGAAAGGGAATTCTGGAGGAAGGGAATTTTGCTCAGATAGCACTCCCTGGCTCCTCAGTGGCCACCCCCTGGTCTTGTGTGGGACCCCCTCCCATTCCTGGCTGCTTCTGGGCCTGCCCCCATCTGCCTCTGCCCACTGAAACCCCCTCACTCTTTCCCCCTCCCCCTCCCTCCCATTTGAGGGCTGGTGGGCTAAGCAGGTGGGCAGGTGGCACCCTGGTCCTCCTCCCCACTGGCTTCCTTCCTTCCCACAGGTGAGCACCCCCACCTCGGGGTCCATGTGCCCGCCCCAGGCCCAGGCAGAGGTGGGCCCCACCATGACTGAGAAGGCAGAGATGCTGTGTGCCCCCAGCCCGGTGCCCGCCCCGGCCCCTAAACCTGCCTCACCTGGGCCCCCGCAGGCAGAGGGGGTGGGCCACGGAAGCTCCTCACCCCCCAGGCTGCCCCCTGGCGTGCCAGTGATCAGCCTGGGCCACACCAGGCCCCCAGGGGCAGCCTTGCCCACCACAGACCTGAGCACCCTACGGCCCCCCCTGCTGCAACTCTCTGCCCTTGGAACCGCCCCACCTGCCTTGGCCCTACATTACCACCCTCACCCCTTCCTCAACAGGTCAGTGGGGAGCTGGGGTGGGGGGTGGAGGGAATTAGGGGCCAGGGTCGTTGCCCATAAGGCATTAGTGACCCACAACCCCTTACAGTGTCTACATTGGGCCGGCAGGACCTTTCAGCATCTTCCCTAGCAGCCGGCTGAAGCGGAGGCCAAGCCACTGTGAGCTGGACCTGGCTGAAGGTGAGTGTGGCTGCACCGAAGGACTGGCCGTCTCTGTGTGGGACTCACGTCTGTCCCATACCCATCCACGGGAGAGGGGCTTCCAGTGCACACAGAGAACAGCCCACACAGGTCATAACCCATGTGCAAAATCAGAGTCCCCTTGCCAGCTCCCCAAAACCACCACCACCCAACAAGCCAAGCCTCGTAGCCACAAAGAGACACTGCAAAACAGAGTATGCCACAACAGGGCATGGGAGCCACAAAATGACAGCCCCACTGGAATGCACAGCCACGAAAGAGACAGCCATAGCACCAAAGTCACACAGGAGACAGCCACAGGACCGTAACCACTGGTGAAACAGCCACTCACCCACAACCACATGGCAGCGTCACACACAACCACAGCCATCAGACATACCACGAGTCAAACAGCCACACAAGACACTGACAGAACCACAGTCACAATAGGACCCCTCAGATCATGAGCACAGGCAGCCCCACACGGGTACACTCAGAATGAGGGGCCACAGGGACAGGTCCCCAGACTTCAGGGAAAGGGAACTTTCCCTAGGGAATCCCAGCCATTGATATAAACGTGCCGACAGTCACAGGTACAACAGGCCCCTGCTGTCCCCAGCTTGGGCTTGTGATGATCCTTGTGGAAGCGCTCATGGAAAGGGGAACCACACGTGGATCCCTTGGGTGGAGAAAGCCCAGCCCACCGCCTGGGTTTAAGTCCGCACGAGGGTGCCGCGTGCCTGAAGTGAGGGCAAGAGGGGGCGCCCTCTGGGCCTCAGTGCCAACCCTGCCCCCCTGTCCTCAGGGCACCAGCCCCAGAAGGTGGCCCGGCGCGTGTTTACCAACAGCCGCGAACGCTGGCGGCAGCAGAACGTTAACGGTGCCTTCGCCGAGCTCAGGAAGCTGCTGCCAACGCACCCGCCCGACCGGAAGCTGAGCAAGAACGAGGTGCTCCGCCTCGCCATGAAGTACATCGGCTTCCTCGTGCGGCTGCTGCGCGACCAGGCGGCCGCCCTGGCCGCAGGCCCCACCCCGCCCGGGACCCGCAAACGGCCGGCGCACAGAGTCCCAGATGACGGCGTCCGCCAGGGGTCAGGACGCAGGGCCGAGGTGGCCGCGAGCTCGCAACCCGCGCCCCCGGCCGATCCCGACGGCAGCCCGGGTGGGGCGGCCCGGCCCATCAAGACGGAGCAAGCGGCTCTGAGTCCGGAGGTGCGATGACCCCACGCGGCGGCGCCTCTGAGCCGGAGGGCACCGGGGACTCAGCCCGGGCCGTGGAGGAAAGGGCCGACGATGCGCTGCGCCTGCTTGGGAGCAAACGCGCCCGAAGAGGGACCAGTGAGGACGACCCTGGCGACGGGGCAAGGTTTCGGGGGTCTGAAAGGGTGACCGTCGCCCCCAGGAGCCCCGCAGACCCTTTTTTAAGAACCACCCACCGCCCGCTGGAAGTGGCCTTGCCCGTGTCCCCTTCCCAGAGGCGAGGTCGGTGAACCAACATGGTAGTGCGGTCATTGGACCTAAGTGGTGTCTCTTTTTTCCTGGCTGGGGTCGCAGTGGTGGTGGTGGGGGTTGTCAGCGAAGGTCTGAGGAGCCTTCGCCCTTCTCACCGGCGCCCCCTCCCGGAAGCCCAGGGATAGGCGCTCGCCAGCGCCTAGAGAGAAGCGCAGAGTCGTCGCAGAGAACGCACTACACCGATCCCGCGCGATCGCGTTAGCGAAGGCTCAGGCGCGCTTGCTTTTGTTTTTCTTTATTTCTTTATTTCACATACACATTAGCCATTCAATGGAGAAGCCGGAGAGAGTCAGGCAAAGATGGTATAACAGAAGCGCAGTGACGGGGGCGGGGCGGGGAGGGGCGGGGCGGAGAGGGAACAGACGGGCTGGCTGCCTACTTGCATTCCGCTAGGACACTGAAAACCCAGAAAACAAAACAGACAGTAAACTACCCTTGTTTCTTATGTATCTCAGTGCAGAGACGGGGGTGGAGGGCAGAGAGGGGAGACCAGGCTGAAGGAGGAGGAGCAGAGGGAGGGGGACGCTAAGGGGGAAGCACACCAAATCCATTAGTACTATATATAGAGATACTCGTATATACTGCGTTTCTTAGCCTAAGAAGAAACTTGTTTGACGGGACGGGCGGCCTTTGCGGTCCGCGATGCTGGTGCTGGTCGGGCGCACGGATCTCCCGGGAGGGGCCGAAGCGGGGCTGGCCCAGGCTGGCTTGCGGGGGGAGGGGGGCGCCCCGAGGGTGGGTGGGGTGGGGGAGCAGAGGTGGGGCTGGGGTGCCCCTTGGGCTCTCGATTGGGGGACGAAAGTTCTCGTGACTTTATTGCTCCTTTATTTTCTCTCGTGTGTGGGGGGGGTCTGTTCAGCACGGTCGGGTTGGGGAAGTGGTGGGTCGTCTGAGCCACCCGGCCCCTCTGGGACCCAGAGCGCGGCGTCCGCTCCGCCAGCACGGGGGTGAGAACAAGGCACTAGGTCGGCCGGCCAGCGCGGGGGCGGGTGTGTAAGGCAGTCGACAGGGCTGGTTGCGGGGAGGGGCGGGGCTGTGTGCGGGGCCGTGTGAGTGCGTGCGTGCGGGCGCGGGCCTGGGCAAATCGACCTGTCAGCGTGGCTGGTCCAGTCCTGGAGCGTCAAGCCTTCCCGGTGTTCCCCGGAGGGGGCCGGGGATGGGAGGAGAGATGTTGACTGGGGGGGGCGCCGGGAAAGGGGGTGGGAGAGGAAACTACCAACTTGCTGAGCGCGCTCCTGATAATGCTGGTGAGGGTCAAGTTGGTGTCTGGCTCAAAGAAGGGCGCTCGGGGCGGAGAGGGAGGGAGGGAGGGGACGTTTGTTCGTTGGCATTGACCTCTGCGGGGGAAGGGCCAGGGACCCCCGCCGCGCCCCCGTGCCCGGACGGGGATGGGGCGAGGAGGGGGCGCTGGGCCCCAGGGAGGGGGCGCCCGGGGAGACCCGCGGCCGGAGCAGCCCAGCCGCCGGGCGCACGCCGCTGTCCCGTTCCGTTAAACTCAACAAAGGGATATGCGTGTTCCTAACAAGTGCAGGATATTTAATTGATTCATAAACTTATGTATAATAGTTTGTGGGTTCTTTAAAACGTACTTTATAATGTAAGAAGCACCAGGGTTTTTATGTTTAATTATCTTAAAAATAATTTTCTCTCGTCCTTTTCCTTTTTGATCTTGTGTTGGTTGAATTTTTAAATGTCGAGGTGTTTTTTTTTAAACTCTAAAATGTGAACGTTTCCTTCAGCCCTCCCACCGAAACCGAGAACGAACGACGAAACAAATAAAAACCCCAGATCATCCTCGTCAACGCAGGAAAACGACTTAAAAAAAAAACTGAAAACGAACAAAAAAAAAAAAAGGAAAAAACACTCAGCTTTCGTTATCCCCGCGCAGGGCGGGGCAGGCCCGGTTCTTTTAGCGTCCCCAGAGCCGCGAGGACATTACAACAAAAATAGAATTTTTTTTCTTAACAATCTCTTAACATACAAAGATAGGAAAACTCTCTGATGCATTGCACTTGGTTCAATGAAAAAAAAAAGTTCATTTCCCCCATATATATTTTTGTGGGTTTTTTTTTCTCTCCTAACACGTCCCCACATCTCCTGTCGCCCTCATTGCCCCTCACAACACCACTTGGGAAAGGAGCAGCCCCACCCCCCCTGCCCGCCCGGGCAACCCCGCCGGGCGCGCTCCGGCCCGGGCCCAGCTGGCCTGCAGCTTCCGACTTCGCCCGGGCGGGCGGCCCGCAGACTCCGCTCCCGCAGGCCCACAGCGCCCGAGGCCCTGACTGTCTTCGAGGGAAGGGGCGCGTGCGGCCGGGCAGGGAGCCCTTTCCGCTTCGCTCTCAGCTCTGACCCTGTTTAGCCAACCGAACTGAAAAATCATTGCACTTTGACCGCGCGTCACGCCCGGCCCACCCGGCCCCCCAACCCCCGGGACCTTGCCCCCCACGCCCCGGGAGGCCCCCGCGGGATCCCCTGCCCCTCAGCCCTAGGATCCTCCCACGGCTGCAGCTGAGGAGGGGGGAGGGCTTCGCTCCACTTCCAACAAAAGTCGCCGCCCCTGGGACAAGCCACCTCATGGCTTCCAGCCGTGCAGGAGGCACCACCCGCCAGCCCCTGCTACACCAGGTCGTGGCCCCTCTCCCCTCCCCGGACGGGCCCCCTCCCCTCCTCGCCTCCCTCCGCTTGCTCAGGGCCACAGCCTCACAAACTAGATTCACAATAAATAAAGCCCATAACCCACCCCTACGTGGTGCAATGTCGGATTGATTGACTTTCTGAGGATCCTGACCTGTGCTTTGTGTTTTCATACAGTTAAGAAAGAGAGAGAAAGAGAGAGGCACAAGGACTCGAGAAGGGGGCTGGGGGAGACGCAGGGGGGAGGGAGTAAGGCACAGAAAGACAAGCCAGAGGGGCCAAGTCACACCCTGGAGGGGGCTGGGCGTGCTCATGCTCCCCTCCCTCCCAGGGGGGCTTCTGAAGACCCTCTGGACAGGCCCCCCAACCATCCCTTTGGGGAGGAGGGGGTTGGGGGGGAGAGCTACTTCCTGTGGTGTGTTACCAAATTGTTCCCAAGTTGCTCAAATGGAGGAGGAGTTCCCAATTCCAACAGCAAAAGACCCAAACAATGAATGCCCCACCCCTAAATAAAGAGTAAAGACATTACAGCTAAAACCCAGAGAGAAGTGGCCGTGAGGGTAGGGAGAAGGTGGGGGGGGACAGAAAGCTCCAAAACACTTTTGAAAAGGACGACACCCAACACCCTCCAAAGGAACTGAAAGTCGGCAAGCAGGACGCCTACCTAGGCGCAGGTGGTGGCTTAGCGACGGCAGTGGCGGCTGCCTGGTCCTCCTCGCTCGGCTCCGGGGTCCCCTTTCTGCTCCACTCTCCGGCCCGGCCCCAGCAGGGCTGTCTGCGTGAGGGGCAGGGCAGGGGCCGATGGGGCGGAGCGAGGACACCTGCATGCAGGGCTGGGGGCAGGGGCGACCTGGGGCCCAACTCCCCTCCCCTGTGGCGTGGCAGGAGGGCAGCCCTTCCGGCCTGCAGAGAGAGGGAAGAGGGGGCCTGTCTCAGGCTGGGACAAGGCCGTCGAGAGCATTCCGACCGTTTCTGTGGACTATACAGAGGGGTCCGTCGGGGCCGGGGAACTGCTGCTGCGGCTCAGGGTGGGTGGCAGAACACCCCCCCATTCCAGGCTCCCGCAACTAGCTCCGGAGGTCGCCCCCTGCCCGCCTGGGGGCTTTTAGCTGGAGGGTGGGGCAGGGAAAGTGGAGGCCGCCCCTCCCTGGCCTGGTCCGGCGCAGCTGGGGGAAGAAACCCGAGCAGCGGTAGTGAGGGAGGGAGGGGCGGAGTCTGGGGGGAAGAACCCGCGGGACCTGCACCCCAACATCTTTACAAGCTGGTCCTCCGAGCTCCCTAGGGCAGCTCCGGCCCGAGGGGAGGGTGGGATTCCCCTAGGAAGGGTGAGGGTGGGGGCCAGGTCCCTTCAGAACTGTGCTGGTTGCTTTGTTTGGGGACTTTGTTCCTTCCCCAGAAGGCTAGGACCGGGTGGGCAGGGGAGGAAGACAGTTCTGCTGCATCCTTTCTTTCTTTCTGTCCTCTACTTGATAGAGTCCGTGTCGCATGTTTCTTTCTGCTTGGCTGCTGGTGCACAGCTCCACCGAGACCCGTTCCGAGGGCTCTCCAAGAACTGGGCTGCTTCTGGGGCCCGCGGGGGTGCCCGGGCTGGAGGAGAGAAGGGCTGAGTGGCTGACGACGTCTAATTTTTGCTTTTCGGTGGGGCTGGGCTGGGCTGGGGGATTTTTCCATGTCTCAAAATTTCTTCTCCCCCCTTTCGAGGAACCTCTTTTCATTTTGTTCTTTAGTCGATCTTATCAGAGGAACCAGGACTGAAACAGGACAAAAAAGAGGCAATGTGAGAACAGCTGGGGCAGGTCTCATCTCATCCCCACCTGGCCCTCTGACCAGCAGCCCTTCAAGAGTCCAGCGCCCAACCCTGGTGCTGGGCAGCTGACCCTCATGGAGGAGGAAGGGCATCCCCATTCTCTCCCTCCCTCCTACGGGAACCCCACCCCTGCAGAGTCCCTGCCCCCCAGTGCTAGAGTCCAGCTGGCCTTCTTGTGGGCACCGTGCCCAGCGGGTGGGACCCCCATGGCTGGCGCTGGCACAGACCTGGGAGCTGGCCATGTTTCCAATTGTTTAGGTTTTTGTATGGGTCCTGGAGGGTGGGGAGGATGCCAGGCTGGGGCTTTTGTACCCAAAAGGGTTTGGGGAGTGGGGTGGGGGTGGCCCAGCTTCTTGCTGAGTTTTCTTTCTGTCTCTTTGGATTAAAAGCAGAAATTCTCATCTATACACCCCAGCCAAGGTCCCACAGGCTGAAAGGCTGGGGGCGGGGAGTCACATGGCTTCAGTCCCTAGCAGTGCCAGGCCTGGGGGAAGGGCCACGTAGCCCACCGTGTGCGATCCTCTACCCTAAGGGCACCAGACACTGGGGAAGGACCTGAGGCTTCTTGGGGTGGGCGTCACTTCCCTCAGGATGCCAGCAGGGGGCACCACCTTCCCACAGACAGGGCCATGTCTGGCATCTGGCAGCTCAGTACAGAGTACACCCAGGGTGGATGGGGCTGGGCTGCTTGGCAAGGCCCTCCATCAAAGGCTCCGGCCCCATCTCCTGGCCAAGGGGTGGGTCAGGGGGTCCTCCTCCATGATCTACTGTGCCTGGGTGCACCTGGGGGTAAAATGGGAGGGGGTCCCCGAAAATGCATCTCAGGGCCTCTCCCAGGCTGAGTCACAGACTCTGGTGTGCAGGGGGCAGGCACAGCCAAAGACAGAGCACACACCAGGCACTGACTCATTCCATCTTTGCCCTGACCCCACACAGAAGCCAGGCACAGAGAGGGTGAGTGACCTGCTCAAGGCCACACAGCCCTTAGGTGACAGAGCCAGGACTCAAATGCAGGGGGCAGCACAGAGTCATTGCTCGTAATTGTTACAGGGTCTGTGGTGACCAGAATGCATGTCATGTGCCACATCAGGGTGAGGGCCCAGGACAGCTAGATCTTCCAACTTTTCAAAGGAAGCCAGAAGTCCAGACAGAATCTCGTGAAAATTTCCAATATTTGAAACACTGCTTTAGTCAAACAGATTAGGCCGGCAGGCTAGACCGCCCCTCAGGCTCTGGTTTGGGACTGTTGGGTGTCATCCACTGTGAGATGGGATGCTGAGTTTTAGAATTATAAAGAGCCTCAGAGATCATCTAGAACTTTCTGCAACAATGAAAATGTTCTGTCTGTGCTGTCCAATGCGGTAGCCACTAGCCGCAAGTGGTTTCTGAACACTTGAAATGTGGCTACTATGACCGAGGAACTAATTTTTCTTTAGTTAGTTAATTTAAATGTAAACAGCCACACGTGACCAGTGGCTACCACGCTCGATGGCATCGATCTCGGGCATCTGGAAAGGTGGGGGTTGGGAGTGCCACAGTGACCAGGCACTGCTGGGAGCAGAGATGCTAAACATCCTGCCATGCGCCGGACAACACACACAACAGAGACCTGCCCTCCCTCGTCAGGGCTCCTCGAGCACCTGCCCAAAGTCCAACCCAGCAGTTGACTAAAGGCCAAACAGAGGCTTGCTGGGGCCTGCGGAGGCTGAAGCGGAAACCCAGGCCGAGGCCTCCCCAGAGTGGGTGGGGAAGAGCCTGGTCGGCAGCCAGCTTCTGGGCTTCTGGCCCAGGCCTGGGGCAGGGAACTGCCTGGGTGAGATCCCCCTTCCCGCAGGCTCATCCCTTGGTGCTCTCTGGGATCCCCTTCCCAAGACGACACTACACGGGAACCCTCGCACCACCCTCCTGAGGCTTGGGGGTGGGGGGCTGGCTCTGGCCGTGAGCCCACCTCTCCTCCCCACCAGGGAAAGGAGACACGCAGGACAGGGGGAGCGCCACCTGTCCTATCTGCCCTTGGCAGACCATGCCAAGGCCCCGCACTGGCCCCTTTGGGGTCTCCCGAGCTGCACGGCGGGGCAACCACTGCCAGTGCTCAGACAGTGGGACCCTCACCAGAGGAAGCAGACTCCAGTTCCAGGCCTGGAGTTAGGGACAAAGGCAGCTCCCTGGCACCTGCCCGCACGTCCCAGGAATGGGGGATCCGCTGCCAAGCACAGCGGCCTTTTCTGCTCATCCCTCCCTGCTGCCTGAGCCAGGTCCAAAATTGATTAAAACTAAGTAAAAAGCGCTGCCCAGGGAATGACAAAATTGCTAAAATTCTCTTTTCTTCCCTCATTCTATTGTTCTCTCTCCATCTGGTGCTCCAGAGATCAGCTAAAGTCACTGGTTACTGTGGAAACCACCCCTGACTGTACCCCCTGCGCCCGCACAGCCCGCCCGCCTGCCCCCAGGCTTGAGGGCTCCAGCGTGGCTTGTCCAGCTCCTGCTACCCCCGACTCTCAGACACACCTGCCTGCTCAGGGGCCCTGGACCCCTTTCTGCACTGCCGGGGCCTAAGAGGGGGAGCAGGCACAGGAGGGAGACAAACTTTCCTAAACTTGCCTCAAACTCCGACTTGGCCCCAAAACATCCAAGCAAAGTGAGCCGAGAAAGTAAAGGAGGAGGCGGAAACCGGGTGAGCGGGGTGAGCGGGGAGGGCTCGTGGCAGCGGTCCCCAGAGCGAAGCAAGAGCACTGCAGAGCTGCAGGCAGCCAGGGCAGGCGGTGGGAGGGAAGGAGTAATCGAGCCCTGCCCCCTGGTGCCCGCCCAGAGCTGGGAGGGGAGGCCCGCCTGCTGTCCCTTCCTCTGGCACCCCCTCCCGCCCTCTGCCAGCAGGGCTCTCTCGGCCTCCCTGGCACAGAGCGGAGGGGGCTGGCTCCAGCCCCTGCTCGGAGCCATTGTTTTTCTTCTCAACACCCCCAAGTTCAAGTTCATCTGGGTGTTACATCATGTCTGGTTGCTCCTGGAAACCAGACGGGTCAGACGTGACTCTGGGGAAAGGGGGTGGGAAGCTGGAGGGGGTTGAAGTTCTCTTCCCCTCCCCTCCTTGCCACTAGGGAGCTCTGAAGTTTGAAGTTTGACAAAGTTTTTTGGCCTTTTTTTTCTTTTTTTGAGGAAAGGAAAGGGAAAAAAAATCTCAAACCACACGCGAAACTTCCATCCACCAACTTTCTCTGGACTCCGGCCTCAGAGCAGAGGCAGAGCAGATGAGAGGTGGCCCTGGGCGCTCTGGACAGAGGCAGATATCCCAGGGCCCAGGAAGCCTCCAAGGAGGTGTTTTTGTAAAGTGTGCAAAAGAAAGACATTTGTTCTTTTCCAAAACGTCATGCTGTGCAAGCTGCAGGCCCTCTGAAGCTGCCTCTGCCCCGGTCCTCAGGTGGGTCCTCCCTGGGCCCCTGTGGGCTATTCCCAACCTCGTGGGGACACCCACCCACATGTGCCACGCAAGGCCAAGTTCAGAGGCCTCCAGCTGGAGGGCTGAGGGTTGGTTTATCTCCTGCTTGTGACAGGACCTGTCTCCTTGTGAGAACTGGGGGTGGTGTCAGCAGGGGATGGGAGCAGGGACAGAGGGCTCTGGCATGCTGGTCTTCCCCCTAACACGTAGGGACTTGGGGGAGGGGCCTCCAGGGCAGCAGCCAGCCCTGCCCTGCCAGAGTCTCTGGGCACGCAGCCCACCAGGCCTGCTCTGTCCCTCTTCCACTCCTTGCCCAGCCCACCCAAAGCCAGGGAAGAGGGGAGGGCTGGGGGCCAGGGCAGTGAGGCAGATGCTGTCCTCCTCCTGACAGGCCTCGGGCTTCCATCTTTGCTTCCACCAGACCTGGCCCAGAGCGCCTCTAGCCTTGGGTCCTTGGCCGCCTTCCCCAGGGCCTGGGCTGTCAGAGCTAATTATCCAATTAGCTGATTAGCCAGGGAGCCTGGGGGCTGCCTGGGGAGGCAGGCTCAGCTGGGCGTGCAGAAGCCTGGGCCCTCCAGCACTGCCCCACCCTCTCTCCCTGATTAGCCCTGGGGACCCCAGCCTCTTCCCTAACACCAAGATGCCCCAACCCTGCCTGCTCTCCCTGTCCCCGCATCCAGACGGTGACCAAGGTCTCCTACCTGAGACTGCTGTGGGATGTTCAGAAAGTTGCCGTCCCGGGGTCCGATGCTGACAAACCGGTTGGCAGAGGCGGTGCCTGTCGTTGCGAATGCTGTGGGGAGCAGGGGAGAGAGGGAGAGACCCCGTCAGGTCACGGGGCCCACCTGGGCACTGCCCCTCAGGGCTGCTGAGAGAGGGAGAGACCGGGTTAGACCACGCTGCCAGGGTTCAGGCTGGCAGTGGGAAGGACGGGCCAGAGGGACAGTTGTGCTGGAGGCCGGGCTCTGAGCCTGCCTCCCCTACACGGGGGGCCCCTCATCCTCTCACTGAGCAGGAGCACACACTGCACCGCTGGCAGCCACAGCCTCAGCCAGGCATCCTCTTTCATGGCCTGGCTGAGGGAGGGGCCCTGGAGGCTGAAAATGACGTCCCTTGGACCTAGTTCTGTCCCCTAGTGAGGTGCTGGGCAGGGCTGGGGATAGCCCTGGTCCCCAAGCACCCTCAGAGGGTATCCCTGCTTTCCCCTGGCCCCTCTCAGGTATTAAAGAGAGGGGGCTGGGAGGGAGTGGGGAAGGCCTTCTCAGCCAGGCCACCTCTCCTGCCGGGCAGCCCAGCTAGATGCTACACCACTTACCAACCTGGGCAGGCCCAAGGACTGGGCAGGTGGATTAGGGAACTCAAAGGAGGCCCAACAGAGGGCTGAGGCACATAGGGCAGGGTCAGAGAGGGGCCTCGAAGCTGGCTGCTCGGCTTGGGCCCAGGCGTGGCAAGGCTCAGGCCCATGGCATCCTCCTTCTCTGACTAATGCACCAGGTCCAACAGGCCTGTGGTCCTAGGGCCTGAAATGGGCCAAGGCGACAGAGGGAGAGGAGGCTGAGGGCTGGCGGAGCCCCAGGTTTCAGGCACTTGGGGGCAGCTGTCCTGGGGCCCAAGGGGACAAATGAACCAAACACCCCTGAGCTCTACTTGGGCTGTGCCCTGGAGCCCTACAGGAGGGCAAAGGCCCTGTACCCCGAGGAGGGAAGATGTCCCCAGAGGGGACAAGGAGTGTCACAGGTTGCCTGGGATGCCCACACCCTGCCCTGTACCAGACGCACCCAGGGACCATGTGCTCACCAGATTCTGTCCACCTCTCCCCAGAAGTGCCCCCCACCCTGCAGCCTGCCTCCCCTCCCCCACCCTGCCCACCTCCAATGACCATGACCATGTGTCCTATGGCGGATGCAGATGGGAGGATGGCATGAAGAGGATGGAGAGGGGAAAAGAACTCAAACCACGAGAAAGCAGGAAAGACAGAGCGCGAACTGGAGAGCAGTGTGAGATGGGCCACCCCTCCCACCGCAGCACCGCCCCGGCCTGTGGCCTGCCAGCCCCCAGAGCGCTGCCCGTCCCTGCCCCAGACAGCACCCCGCCCAGCCTCCTGTCCACGTCGGGTCTACCTGGGGCCTCTCGACTCAGAGTTTTCTTCTCTTCCCTTTGACAAAATTTGTCATTGGTTTAAAAGAAAAAAAGAAAAGAAAAGAAAAGAAAGACAGATAGAGATGAAGTAAGTGAGGCCCGGAGCCCCCCCTTGTCCTTGACACATCCAACCTGGGAAAGGAGTTGAGGAGAGGGAGGGGAGAGGGATGGGAGGGGGTAAAAAAAAAGAGGAACAACGAGAAACCAAATGTGAGACTGGGGGGAAGGGTCATGGGCTGGCCTGCTGCATCTTTCAGGTGAGGCCTGGGGCCTGGGATGGAGGTGAGGGGGGCAAGGCAAAAAAGGGATGGTGGTGGCGTCGCCTTGTGGTTACAATTGATTTTCTTGGTGTGGGGAGGGGGACAACGAAACAACAAAAAATTAAAAAACAAAAACAAAAAACAAAAAAAACAGCAATCAGGCATGAAGATGGCATGGCTGTGCCTCCCCGCCCCCTCCCACCCCCGCCAGCACCCCTGGCCTTCGCGCCCCGCTGCTCTCTCCCTCCCGCCCCCCAGAGGGGCCTGGGCCAGGGGCCCCGGCTGGGAGCAGCAGGCAGGGGCTCGTGGGGTGCTGGCTGGTGCGACTGAAGCCCGGGAGGGAGGCTGTGGTTGGGGGGCTCGGCTCTGCTCTTGTCCGGGTGGGAGGTTCCATGGAGCTCTGGGTTGGGGGCTTTGGCAGTGGGGAAGGGGGAAGGCTTTTCTTTTTGCAGTGGAGACTGTTTGGATGGGCTGGGGATGCTGGGCGTTGTGGTTTCGGTTTCATCGTCCACTTACAAGGTGATGGAGGAGTCAAGGCGGCGCCGTCTGGGGCAGTGCTGGTGGATTTGGAATCAGGCATAGGAAGGGGCACAGGTCTGGCCACTGGAGGCGGCGGCGGTAGCAAAAATGACCCCGGGACTTTGCCCTGGCCGCTACCGTTGGGCTGCGAACAACATAAATAGAGTGACGCATGAAGGCACATCACACACAGACACACGCTCCCCTGCGCGGCCGCGCCAGCTCGCTCCTGAGGGCGGGCGCTCCCGGTGGAAGATGCAGGATGGGGTTCTCTCATCCGGGCACGGGGTGGGTGAGGGTGTAAGGCCTCTATTTGGTCTCTCAGGTGTTTCTCTTTTTTTTTTAAGTCCTCTTTGAAGTTGTGGGAGGGAGGAAGAGGGGGTGTCCGACGGGTGGTTTGTTCTTTTTTAGGGAAAATGTTTTAGGTACAAAAATGTGCCACCTGGCATATACATGCAGCTGCACCTAGAACTGTCACGCTCCTGAAGACCTTGTCCTGCAGCAGGAAAGATGAGCCAGCTCGCCCCCGCCCTCCCATCCCCCAAAGTACATGCCTGCCTCCTTTTGAGGGCCCCTGGGTTGGGGCTGGGTGACCCAACCGAGGACTGCAGACCTGCCAGCATCCACCCTACAGCACGGCCTCAGGAGGCCACCAGAAGTTGGGGACTCGCCCTGGGCTGCCAGTGAACAGTGGAGTGCTGGCCTGTTCCTAAAGAGCAGCCGCAGAGGGAAATCCATCGCTGCCAGCGCCAGTTCCCGTGAGGTTCTTCCAGAGGACTTCCCTGTGTGACGCCCTCAGAAGCCAGGGATGCCTGGGCCACAGGATCCAGTCCTTGTCCTTCACGCCCTCATTTGCTTCGAACTCAAGTTTCCTCCTCCAGGGCCCGTGGGTGGCCTTGTGTGGCTCAGCCTTCTGGCTCCGGGGAACGTAAGCGCCAAAGGAAGAGGCACGGGCTCCCCTGACTCTTGCGGGCACAGTCTCCCCGGACAACGCTCCCTGGAGGTCTGGGCACGTCCCTCCTGCTGCTCTGGACGGTGCTCTGGATGACCACCTGCAACCTGGGTGCAGGGAGGCCTGGCCTGAGCCCTTTATCCTAAACTGGCTCCTCTCCTGGCGGGCGAAGCTCTGCTCTCCCAGTCCCAGTCCCACGGGTTCGAGACCTGGGAGATTCCCGTGTGCTGCTCCTCCTACCAGTGGGCAAACCCCTCGGAGCCCATCTGCTAGATGCCTCCAGCCAGCCCCTGGTTCTCTCCTCAAGGGTTTCATCTGGACCGTGACAGTGAGATTGCAGGGGTCTGCCATGTGCTGACGGTGTGTCCACCAGCTCAGACCCTCAGTGCCTGGCCCTGCACCAGGCGCTTTCTTGCGTTGTGTCTAACCCTCCAACCACCCCATAAGGCAGTGGTTCTCACTCAGGGGTGATTCTGTCCCCCAAGGAGAAACTGGCAATGTCTGGAGACATTTTTGGCTGTCACAACTAAGGGCTGGGGGATGCTGCTGGTGTGGAGTGGGCGAAGGCCGGGGATGCTACTCAGCACCCTGCAGCTCACAGGACGGGCCCCCGGGACGAAGGATCACCAGTCCAAACGCTAGCACTGCCATGGCTGGGAAACCCTGCTGTGAGAGCAGCTCTATTCTACCCATTTCACAACTGAGGAAACTGAGGCTCTGCACAATTAAGTGGTGTGTCCGAAATCACCCAGCTACAACTGGCCAGGCCTGGAATTTGCAGCCACATCCGTCTGACTCCAGGAATCCTTCTAGCAGGCTCGTCAACCCTCTTCCCCAAATCCAGTTCAGCTCAGGTTTCTCTCATCCTCCGAAGCCTTCCACAGCTCCAACTGCATCCGACATAGAGCAGAATCTCCCCGCTTGGGCACTGAAGGCCCCGACTGGGGAGCCTAGTGGGTTCTCCTACCACCCATGCCTCTGTCCCCCTTGCCCCAGGCACTTCCCATTCCAAACTGACTGAGGTTTCCAGAACACAGGCTGAGCAGCCAGGACTGCACACCCGCCCACTGCAGAGCCCTCTGTCTGGGAGACCATTTCCCACACCCTTCAAGCCCTGCTCAGAAAATACCATCCCCTCTGTGGGGATCAGCCAGATTTCCTGAATCACAATCTACCCCTCTGCCTTGTTCTTCCAGGACACTCTTGGCCACCGCTGGACCCTGTGAAGCGGGCTGGCTCCCCACAGGCTCCCCAGCGAGCTGGCAGAAGCGTGCAGCACCCATAGGAGCGACTCATCCCTCCTGCCGCACTTTAAAATCATGGAAGCCCAGGCTGACCGGTGCGGGCCACACCCTTCTGTACTCTGGCCCTTCCTCCCACCGCGCTTTACCCCCAATGACCCGCACCCAGTCTGACACGCTGGCCCTCTAAATGGTCCCTTCGACTTGATTGCTCCTGCCCACTCCAAGGGTACCAACTCTCAGGGGCCCCTGACAAAGGCCAGCAGTGGTTGTGCTGGTCCCCATCTGTGTCCTGGGCTGGAGACCTTTTGTACTGGGTGTCATTTTGGAAAGGGATCCTTCAGTTCCAGGTGCTAGCACGGGCCAGAGTGCAGAGATTTCCAACTGGGCGGGGGTGACATGGAGATCCAAACAGCAACATTTCCCCTCATTTCCGCGGCCTGTCTGGTTCCTATCTCACTCTTCCATCAGGGCAGGAAATGGAATAGTCCCCATAGGTCACAGCCTCACTCCTCCTCTCGGGATGTCCTCAGCTCAATCTCCCATGGGGCTGGGACACAAAGGGCAGCCTCTGCCTCACTCTGGTCTTCAGAGCCTGTGTCCCCCAGGGGTATCTGAATCACTAATCCCACCTGATAAGGCTAATCCCAGCCTGATATGGCTGGACACTGAAACCTGCTGATTTACAACATTCAGTTTCTAGAAGTAACTTCCAACCAGACTGGGACGTCTCAGCTCTGACTGGGGTACAAGTCAAGGTTTTAAAAATCTCAAGGTCTTGGCTGGGTGTGGTGGCTCACGCCTGTAATCCTAGCACTCTGGGAGGCTGAGGCAGGAGGATCGTTTGAGCTAAGGAGTTCAAGACCAGCCTGAGCAAGAGTGAGACCCCATCTCTACTAAAAGTAGAAAGAAATGAGCTGGACAACTAAAAACATATAGAAAAAATTAGCTGGGCATGCTGGTGCATGCCTGTAGTCCCAGCTACTTGGGTGGCTGAGGTAGGAGGATCGCTCGAGCCCAGGAGTTTGACGTTGCTGTGAGCAAGGCTGATGCCACAGCGCTCTAGCCCAGGCAACAGAATGACACTCTGTGTCAAAAAAAAAAAAAAAAAACCTCAACATCTTGTGGCTTCACAGGTTGTTAAAACTTCATGAGTTAGGAACTAGAAGGAACCTAGAAGCTGGTATAGACCCTCACCTGCATCCTACAAATGACAAGGGCCTGGCCGTTCCAGCATCGGTGGTCCCGGTTGAGCCACAGTCACACTCTCCCATTGGGCCCTGTGGCTTCTTCATCGTGTTTTCTGGGCTCTTTTCTCTCCCTGAAACACAGCTAACCAGGCATCCTCTTTCTGCCCTTGCATCTCCTCTCGGCCTTGGCATTACCCTGGGGTCCAAGGATTGGCTATAGGGGTGCCTGGGAACCCTTCCGCAAACGTCTGTAAAATTTTTCTTTTTCTTTTTTTTTTTTTTTGAGACAGAGTCTGCTTTTGTTGCCCGGGCTAGAGTGAGTGCCATGGCGTCAGCCTGGCTCACAGCAACCTCAAACTCCTGGGCTCAAGCAATCCTTCTGCCTCAGCCTCCCGAGTAGCTGGGACTACAGGCATGCGCCACCATGCCCGGCTAATTTTTTCTATGTATTTTTAGTTGTCCGATTAATTTCTTTCTATTTTTAGTAGAGACGGGGTCTCGCTCTTGCTCAGGCTGGTTTCGAACTCCTGAGCTCAAACAATCCGCCCGCCTCGGCCTCCCAGAGTGCTAGGATTACAGGTGTGAGCCACCGCGCCCGGCCTGTAAAATTTTTCTATGCAGATATTTTCCTGCCAAGCTGATATGTAACTTCAAGTTCTCAAGAAGGTTAGAAATTTCATCCTCTAGGCCTGCAGTCCCCAGTGCCCGGCCTCAGCCCCTACCAGTCTATGGCCTATTAGCAAACAGTCCACGCATCACTGCCTGAGCTCTGCATCACGGCCCCCACCACCCCCTCCCACCACCACGCACCCCCGTGGAAAAACTGTCTTCCGCGAAACCGGTCCCTGGTGCCAAAAAGGTTGGGGACAGCTGCTCTAGGCTCCAGATCAATGCTTCTCAAAGTGGAACTTGGGAGACATGCAGAGTCTCAGGCCCCACCCTGGACCTGCTGAACGAGCAGCTCTGGCTGAGGCCCAGCCACCTGTGTGTTAGTTAGCGCAGCCTCCAGGTGACTCCCATGCTCTCTCAGTCTAAGAAGCACTGCCCTAACGGTGGCTGCACAGGCTGGTGTTACCACTCCCTGCTGCCAGGTCAGCTGCAGAGCCCGGGCCGCTGGTTTTCTCTGCAGGTACACATCGGCCTCTTCCACAGCATGGTGCTGTCTCAAGCCTCCCCTCAGAGCTGGGGGCAAGACCCCTCCTCCTCTTTTCAGCATGACAGGCCACAAGAGGAAACCCAGAGAGGCTGCTCCTCAGCCAGGCCACACTCCCTGCTTAATCAGGTTCCTGTCTGCGTTCTTTTTTCTTTTCTAATTTATTTTTTTAGAGGTAGGGTTTCCTTGTGTTGCCTAGGCTGGAATGCAGTGGCGTGATCACAGCTCACTGCAGCCTGGCACTTCTGGGCTCAAGCCATCCTCCTGCCTCAGCCTCCTGACTAGCTGCGACTACAGGCTCGCACCACTGTGCTCTGTTTGTTTTCTTGTCTACAGTGTTTTGTCCGTGGTCTCCTGGGAGCAAGAGCTGCCTCAAGAAGGGAGCGTTCTAGGCTTCTCAATCTTGAACAGTCAAGTCAAGGGGAAGGCTCAGAACCCAGCCCTCCGGATGGCTGGGCAACTGACTGACCCACTTTCTCAAGGATTTTGTGGTTAGATTTGGCTCCTTGCCTAACCTGGTCCCTAGGCCAGCCGAATTTTGACTCCAAACCCCCTCTACTTCTGTGGATGAGAAGGCAGGCAAGGCAGTGCTCCCAGCTTTTCTGCCCCATATTCCAGACCCCAGGGCCGGGGCATAGAACAGCAGCTCCCCGTGGACACTGCCAGCATCTCTGAAGGAAGCGCGGTGGCTGTCAGGGGTCAGGTCTGCTCTTCCCTCCATGACCCTAAAAGTGGACAGAGCTTGTCCACAGAGGCGGGTGAAGCCGAGTGTGCTAAGAGCTGCAGAGTCAGCAAGAGAAGCCCTCGCAGGGCAAAGAGGTGGGGAAGGAGACACGGAGAGGAGTGGAAGGAGGGCGAGCAGGAGGGAAGGAAGAGGACTGGCTTCCGTTATGGACAGATCGAGGAGGCTGAACCACGGCCCCACCCAAATCAATATCCCAGCACTTAGCAGATGCCCACTCTGCGCAGAGCATGCCGAGGCAGCCTCTGGCGTGGGCTTCCGGAACGCCTTTCCCAGCCACGGCTCTCGCAGTGGGCTTCCAGACTGCAACAGCTGGCTGCAGAGGAGCTGAGGCTTCTCATAGCACAGTATGCTGCTGAGGCTCCAGAGCCTTCCCAGAGGTCTGGAGACCACCATGTCCCAACCCAGAGTGGTCCCCTAGGAACGGAGTGAGGACCACCACACCACTGAAGGGTCACCTCTGGCCCAGCACTTCCTGGGATAATTCCTTTGCTGAGCGGCCCTGAGTTTCTGCTCTCAGGTGATGGCGAAGGGCTCTGTGGGGAGCCAGTCTATTGCCCAGGGCTGAGGAGCAGAAGGCTTCGCTCTAGAACTGGAACTGCTCTGGGAACCCTTCGTCAAGACTCCTGCCAACAGGAGTCTCTGTGGCAGCTTTGTGGACTGGGGCCTTCCCTCTACACGGTGCCTCTCACCGGGGCGATCTTGCCCTCCTGTGCACAGCTGAGAAGGCCCCGGCACTTAGCAGATAGAGGCCAAGGATGCCGCTCAGCTCCCTGCAGTACACAGGATGGTCTCACATGACAGTGAATAAACAGCCCCAAATGTCAACAGTGCTGAGACTGAGAGACTATGGTCCAGAATCTACCAAATCCTTGTAGCCCTGAGCTTTCGGAGGGGTGCTGGGAAGTAGATAACCAGGCCTGGGCCAGATAGGTCACGGGGTCACTCCTGCTGGGGTAACAAGGACCACAGGAAAGGCAGGAGCCTATGCAACAGGGCCCAGTCGCTGCCTCCACTCTCCAGACCATGACGGACAGGTCCCAGCATAGTGCACAGACCCCCACCCCCAGACCCAGAAAATTGAGGCGCTCGGTGCTCCCAGCTCCCTGCTTCTCCAGCCCCAGGTGGGACCCTGGCTTTCAGGCCCTCTCCCTGTGAGCCCTGAGACAGACAGACGGACACTGAGATGAGGCTGCAGTGGGGCTCCTGGGGCCCTCTGGACTCACCTGTCCGGTGGCCTGGCCCGAGCCATCTGAGCACACAAACTGCACAAACTCCTTCAGCGAGTCCTGCCCGTGGTGGTGGTGGTAGCGGATGGTCGGGTGCGTGAAGTACGGGCTCGACTGCTGGATGATGGACGTGGAGGGGAAGTGCAGGGCTGACGCTGTGGCCCGGGGGCTCCCTGTGTGCGCGTGGGCAGGAGGAAAAGGCTGTCAGGGCCAAGAAGGCACCCGGCGGGGGTGGGGGGACAGGAGAGGAGGGGGGCTGCTGGCCACAGGGCTGAGGGTCCTGAGGAAGAGGGAGGAGGGTGCAGGAGCAGGTTGAGGCCGGTGAGGCACTTGTCACAGGCACAAAAGTTAAGGTGGCACAAAAAGAGCCAGTCATCGAGATTAATAATGTTTTCATGCCATGTAAAAAAAAAGTACAATCAAATTGGCAGACTGGGGTCTACAGGTCAGCTGCTTGTTTTTGTAAATAAAGTTTGATCAGAACCAGGGCTGGGATTAGGGGGAGACAGGTAGGGCAAGATCGGACCCTGCTTTTGTTTCAAATGTTGATATTTGCTCCTTATCCTTTTTTTTTTGCAATAGTTTGGATTTAAAAAAAATATTGCGTGAAAATATTATTTAGGCTGGGCACTGTGGCTCACACCTATAATTCTAACACTTTGGGAGGCTGAGGCAGGAGGATCACCCGAGCCCAGGATTTTGAGATCAACCTGAGCAATAGCAAGACCCTGTCTCTACAAAAAATTTTTTAAAAAATCAGCCAGTGGCCAGGCGCGGTGGCTCACGCCTGTAATCCTAGCACTCAGGGAGGCCAAGGCGGGCGGATTATTTGAGCTCAGGAGTTCAAGACCAGCCTGAGCAAGAGTGAGACCCCGTCTCTACTAAAAAAAATAGAAACAAATTAGCTGGACAACTAAAAATATATAGAAAAAATTAGCCGGGCATGGTGGCACATGCCTGTAGTCCCAGCTACTCGGGAGGCTGAGGCAGGAGGATCGCTTGAGCCCAGGAGTTTGAGGCTGCAGCGAGTTATGATGACATCACTGCACACTCTACCCAGGGCAACAGAGTGAGACCCTGTCTCCAAAAAAAGAAAAAAATCATTTATCTTGATGATTGAGTTTTAGGCACCCCTTGCCATTCTGCGCTCACAGCGCATGCCTCCCTTGCCCTGCCCTGACCCAGGCCCTGGTGAGAGCCTGGATGAGGGACCAGAGGAGGCAGATGGCTCTGTGGGGGTCTGGATGAAGGCACACACGCCTGACACATCTGAGCGTGAGCGTGTGTGCACCTAGCCACTGCCACCCAGGCTGTGTGCCAGTGTGCTCAGTCCCATCGCTCTTGCGCACCACGCGTCCTCACACATGCAATTCCCCGGCGCGGGCCCCAGCTCTTCCCCTCCCGTATGTTTCCAATCAGCTCACTCTTGCTCTCAGTTTCATTAGGGAGCTGAGGAAACTTGGCTTCTCTCTGGAGTTCATAAACGCTGAGCTGGAGCCGGAGGAGGTGGGCCTGCCGCCCTCCTGCTGCCTACGCAGAGGGCCCCGGCTCCCCACCCCCACCTTGCCGCCACCACACCCTGCCCCAGCACTGGCTGTCTCTGGGCTCCCAGCCAGGAGGCCCCGAGGAGGAAGCTGGGAGGTAAACCTCCCTGTTCTCCATGTCCGACAGAAGAGCCCAGGAGACCACGGGTGGACACGGGGCCGTGTCTGGAAAAGTCCAGGCCTCTTGCTGCCAGATGGGTGCCCAGTGAGGGAGTGACAGGGCTGAGGACTAGCCCCCACAGCTTCCTGCCTGACTCTGTCCCCTTAGGAAGACCTAGGTTTTCTCATTCCAAGCACCTTCTCTGCTAGAAACAATGAAGCCAGAGAGCAGCCTCCAAGGCCTCAGTGGCTCCTTTCTCTGCAGAGCAGCCCAGGCACCACCCGTCCCCTAGGCCTAGCCTTTCACTTCCAGAAAAGGCAGGGAGCCCAGAGAAGGGAGCCACTGGCCCCAGGACACAGAGCAGGAGCCTGGGCTCCTTAGGAGGGCTCTAGCTAATCCTTGCCCCACACCAACCCGGCCTCAGCCAGCCGCTGCTGGGCCAGAGAGCCGAGAGGAGAGGAGGGCAGGGGGAGAAGGCGGTGCCTTCCCGCCCACAGCTGGCGGGATGAAAGGAGAACGTGGCTGGCCTAGGGGAGGCCTCAGAACGGGCCTGTCCTCACCCAGCACCCATGCACGCACGCGGGGAGTGAGGAGCAAGGGGAGGATGCTCAGGAACCAAGTGAGGAGGCCCGAGCTGGGCTCAGTCCTCCAAGAGGTGCTGCCATGGAAAGGGCCCCACTTCCATGCCCACCCGTTGCCGCCCCATGCTCACTTGGAGAGCTCCGGGCTGTCACCTGGGGTCAGCCCTGGCCCCTTCACCTGGCCAGCTGCCCCTCAACGCTCAGCCGCCTCCCCAACTGCCCCCCGCTGGGCCCCCCATTTCTCACCTGGTCTGACTCCAGCAAGCACAGGCAGCGGGTGGTGGGTGAAAGCCATGCGCGGGGAGCTGCCCTGAGAGGAGAGGGCACTGCAGAAGTCCAGCTTTCCTGACTTCTTTAGAGAAGCCGGGCCTGGGGGGAGGAAGCAGCAACACAGAGCAGGTTTAGCCAGGCTGGGGCGGGAGCAGGGAAGGCGGGAAGCCAGCAGCTAGCTCCTTCTCTCCTCGGCACCCGCTACGGGCCACCCCTTCCTCCGCCAGGCTGCCCCTGCTTCCTTTGCCCAGTTTTGGGTCTCGGACCGAGGCCCTGCGTGTGGGCCAGACAGTGGGTACTTCTGATTAGAGAGTAAAATGAGGCCCCCAGGGAACGTGCAGCTGCGTGCACAGGATGGGGGTGAGCGTGGGGCCCAGCCTGCCCCTGACAAGCAGATAATGGAATGAAAGGGTGGGATGAAGGGCCATCATCAGGGAAGGGTGCAGGAAGAGCCCCAGGGTGCCAGCGTGACAGCCAGGGAGGGACAGTCTGGGGTCTGTGCCGTGGTGCCCTGGGCCGTGGGATGTTCTGGTGGGAAGAAGCCAGTTCTCCCTTCTGGGAAGGGAAAGCACAGCCACAGGTCCTCAGGAGGGATGCAGTGCCCAACAAGAGAGCAGAGACGGGGGCCAGAGGACCTGCAGAGTCCTCCGGCTGCTCAGGCCGAGGTGGGCCCTGGAGGCAGAGCCAGAGGGGAGAAGAAGCCTCCGGCCAGGGGACCCAGAGGCTGTGCTGCCAGAGGATAGGTCGTTTTAGGGCTCTGCCCTGCGCCTGGTGCCAGAGGTAAGGGTGGCATTAAGTAGGAAACAGGGGCGCAAAGAGTAGCCTGTTTGAGCTGTGCCTCTAGGAGCCTTGTGTGGCCAGCCAAAGTCATCTCTGCCCAGTGGGCACGGTGTCCAAATAACAGGACAAAGCAGGGCCCCTGGTGGGCCAGGTTCTCTTGGGGATCTCGTCTCCTGTCCTGGGCTGAGGGAGATAAGGTAGAGTTGGGGCAGATCTCTAAAGAGGCCATCTTTGAGGGACAAATTGAGTCAGTTTGGGTGGGGGGCATGGGGGCTGCAGAACAGAGAAATAAGAGCCATCTTAACTGCAGAGGGAAGAGGTGGGGGAAGGGCGAACTCCCAGCCGCCAGCAGAGGTGTTATCTGGCGGCAGCTGTGTGCCACCTGATAGCTGGCACGGTGGGGAGGGGGGGAGCGTCCCACCAGCTGTGCACAGCCGTCCCCAGCGCCTCCCCAGCTGTTCCCTGTCCTGCAGCTGGGCTGCTTAATTGGCGATTTGTTGCAGCCCAGGGAAACGACACATGGGTAGGGGGGCGGGGGGCGTAAGGGAGCTGGGGGTGCTGCAGGAGGATGGTGGGGGGGGGCCGTGCGTGGCAGGACTGCCTGCCGGAAGGAGCAGAAATGCAGAAATGGCAGGCGCAAAAGCAGACAGCCGAGAAAGAGAGTGGGAGCAAGGAAGAGGGGGGCTCCTCAGGAACTAGGTCTGGGCAGGGCGGTCCGGGAGCCCTCGCCCACCCCGAAGCCAGCAGACACAGCCCTCAAAGCACTCCAGTGGCAGTCCTTGCAGAAGGTGTCACCCGACTGAGGCCTGACTGGGGACCAGATATGTAGCTGAAGAGTCTCCTGGGCCTTCACCACTCCTCCCTTTGCCTCCCGAGGCTCCCCTAGAAGTGTGTGGGCTGTGCTAGCCCAGGTCCCTGCCTGCCAGGAGGAGACCCTGGGAGGGGCCCCAGAGTCACGCCAGGGTGCCATCCTGCAGAAGTGAGCCTCCACTGAGGGCCCATTCCCTCAGCCCAAGGCCCTCCTCTCCTCCTCCCAGGAGCTGAAAGCAGAGAAGCTGGAGTCTGCACTCACAGGACAGCAGAAAAGCAGGAGCGCCTCTCTGGCCCCGCCCTGGCCTCTGCCCGCCCACCTGGCCCTTCCCAGGAGGGGCACATCTGGCATACACCAGACAAAGCACCATCAGGCCAGACACTTGTCTTCCTGAGTCAGAGAATGAGGCCCCAGCCCCAGGCCTGGCCGGAGCGGATGTGACCTGCACGCCCCACATGCTCGGGTCTGCACTCCCCAGTCCCATGACGCCCGCGCAGTGAGGGCGCACACAGGCTGCGCCACTGGTGCCTCAGGAAGGGGTCTCCTGCAGCCAGCCTCCTCACACACGTGTGCATGTGCACACACACGCACACGCACGTGTGCGCACATACTTTCTTCCACCTGGGCTGTCCAGGTCTATCCACCAAGACTGAAGGTGAAGGTGGATGGGTGAGAAGGGAGGGGTGCCTAGAGGGGACTGGGAAGGACTGAGCTGGCTTCTACAGGCTCTTTGCCCTTGCCAGCTTCCATACCTGGCCGGAAAATGACTCTGCTCATTCTTCACCAGACTCTGAGCCTCTCTGTTAAAGCTGGGCCCTTGAGACTAGCAGTTGTCAGCCCGGGACAACTCTGTCCCCATGGGGGACATTCGTCAATGTCCGGAGACACTTTTGGTCAACAAAACTGAGGGTGAGGGGTTTGCTGCTGGAGGCCAGGGACGCTACTAAACATCCTGTGGTGCATAGGACGGCCCCCACCACAGAGAACGATGAAGCCCCAAATGTCATCAGTGCCCAGGTTAAGAAACTGCTTTAAACCACGAAGCCCACAGGGTGGGGCAACCTCTCTGGAAATTTGCCATAGGAAGGTGGCCCCGAGGAGGCCGCTGCAGGGCTCCAGAGGCTTGGAGGCCCCTCTGCTTCCCACTGCCATGCCCCTGGGCTCTGCTGCCCATCTCCTTTCCCCTCCTCCAGCCTGCTCTGCCCTCTTCCGGAAGATCAGGAGGTAGGAAGACAGACGGGTCATGCCGCCCAACGCCCAACGAGGGAAACCAGTGGGAGGCTGGCCAGGTAGACCAAGTGGAGGCGACAAGGCCCCAGGCTGCCCTCACTCTGGGTCAGGGCTCGCCGCACCCATACCTGCATCCACATCGTTGGGCCATCCACTGGACTGGCTGCTGCCAGCTGCTGGGGAACGGCCTGTCCCAGGGTAGAACACGTCGTCGACGGGGCTCTCCATCTCACTGTCATCGATGGATTTGGGGCGCTTGGTGGTGCTGGGGAAGGAGGAAAAGGTCAGATGGGCCAAGGGTGGGCCAAGACTCCAAGGAGTCCCCGAGCACCCAGGCAGAGGGCCCAGGCACTGATGGCCCTCCACACAGGGTGCAGCACTGCACCGGCGCACTTCCAGGCACTGACGGCATGCCCAACCTCAAAGCCAGCCCACCAGCTCCCTCCCCCAGCCCCTTCCCACATCACAGAAGTCGGCAAAACCCTCAGCTGCCTCCTCTGCCCCACTCATTATTCCCATCAGCCCCAGGGCCAGGTGTGGTACATGAGGTACTCGCAGGGACAAGAATGTCAGGGGGTGCCATAAAACTCAGTCATCAACATAAAGCATATTTTAATGCAGTATTTTTAAAAATCAAAATGAATGCCAAAAAGCTCACAATAAACACAAATGTTCATTTTTTAAAAAAATAGGATTAACCCTGCCCTGCAGGACTTGCCTGACCAGAGCTGACTGTCTCACCTCCCAAGCAGCCGTCCACTCTGTCCCTCCCTGTCTCGCCATCCCCACCAGGCAGGCCCACCTCCACCCCAGCCTGTCAGAGTAGCCTCCTAGCTGGCTGTCAGTCCTGCCCACACGCGCTACTGCTGGAGGGAGCTTTCTAGAACACACATCCCCAACATCCCCTGCTGAAAACCCCTCAGTGGTCCCCATGGCCCAAGGATGAAGCCTAAACGCCTTCTTCTGGTCTCCAAAGCCCTCTGTGGGGTGGTCCCACCAACCTGTCCAGCTTTGACTGGGATGGATGCTGCTTTTTCACTTGGGTAGCCCTGTACCAGCCCAGTGGGTGCGTGGGCCTAAGTGTCACCTCCCCAAGAGAGAGGCCTTCTGCGACCCCCACTTCCAGGCACAGCCATGCCTTGTGTGGGTTTGTGTCCCCAAGGCCAAGTGATGTATGACAGCAAGAGGCAGGAAGCTCAGTGGGTGACTGAGCACACTGGGCCCAGGCTGTTTTTGAGCCAGTGCCCTCAGCGAGAGGTGACATTCTGAAGCACCCAGGCCTGGGGGGCACAGCTGCCTGCAGCCACCTGGGGGATGGCCTGGAGGGCAGGGGAGGAGGGAAGGCTGAGGCGCTGGGCTCACCTGGTGGAAGGAGGGGAGGTGATGGACCGCCGCCCCAGGGTCACCTGGTTTATGTTGTAGTAGCTGGGACTCTCCAGGTCGGCCAGCGAGAAGTTGGGCCCTGATGCTGTTGCCACAGGAGCTGGGAAAAACAAGATGGTGATGAGGTTTAGAAGGTGAGGCAACCCAGTGGGGCCTGTTCATTGCTCCTCAGAGCCCAGGGCTAGTTCACTGTGGGGCCATGAGAAGGGGGAAGGTGGGCTGTCTGGGCTGCTGAGGAAACCTCCTCTTGGCTGGGGGTCAACGGGGAAGAGCCTTTGGTTGTGGCTTTTTTTCCCTCGAAGCAGTGGGGACCAGAGGTGGGGTTCTCTGGATGACCTGCTCCACCCAGCCCGGTGCCAACAGGGTAGAAAGTGCTCCGGGTGGCCCCGTCTGTCCCCATCCACCCACCTCGAGACCCCATCAGCAGTGGGCCCTGGGAGGTCCCACTTCCGCATCCCCAATCCCCGCCTCTGGCCCAACCTGGAAGGAAGGACTCACTTACTCTGTGATACTCTCACCAGCTCTGTCACATTCCAGACCCCGGAAGTCACAAAACAGTCTTGGAAACTTAAGTGCCCTGAAGAGGGAAAAGGGAGGGTGAGCGAAGGCAAGGCCAGTAGGGGGCTGCCTGCCTGTGTCTCCAAAGCTCTTCCCCGCCTTTCACTCCTCCCTCCCAAGCCCAGTTCTGCCCTCTCAGGTCTATGCTGAAGAGGGGCCTGTGCTTCAGGTGAGCCCCCTCCGCTGGGGACAGCAGTCCAAGTTTAGGCAAGGGACAGCCGAGTGAAGGGGAAGAAGCGAAGGCGGCCAGGCCGGCCGGGGTGGGCAAGCGCAGGCGGGGCACTGACCGTTGGGCAGTGGTTTGATGTCCGCATCTCCTTGCTGGTTTGAACTATCTGATTGTCCGGATTCTGAAGGAGACAAAGGGGAGGAAGAGGTCAGGAGCAAAGTTCCCCATAAGCACCCGACAAGCAGCTGCAGGAGAGTGACCCTCCGCCCCAGCCAGCCACACGACTGAGGAGACGGGAGAGGGGAAGAAACAATCACCTCATGCCCCAGAGCAGGTTTCTCAGCCTCAACGCTGTGGACATTTGGGCTGGACTGTTTTCTGCAGCGAGGCTGTCCTGTGCACTGTACGGTGTCTGGGCGGCATCCCTGGCCTCCACCCACTAGATGACAGCAGCACCCCAGTGGTGACAACCCAAACTAGCCCCAGATGCTGCCCGCTGTGCCTTAAAGGACAAAGTCACCCTCAGCTGAGCAGCACAGGCCAAGAGTCAGGAGCATGGAGGGGCCAGGGGAAAAGCCAGAGACCCTCTCTTCACAGCTGGGACGGACCCAAGGGTCCCCAGCCCCCACCGGCTTAGCTCCCAGAGGAGCACCCCTTCCCTTACTCGGTTAATTAAAGCCATCCCTGTCTGCTTGCGCCTCCCCCACCTCACCTTTATGCTCACAGGCAGTGCCTGGCAACCCAGAGGGGGGAGGTTTGCCCTGACGCCGTCGCCCGCTCTGTGCCAGCCTGTCTGGGCTGTCTCATGCCCCAGTGCCACAGCTGCTCAGAGGGAGCCCCAAGACAAGGGCCCATTGTGCGGTGGGAGCTCACAGAGAGCTGGGGGCAGGGTGGAGTGTGTGTGTGAATATTTTGCTGAGCTTGGGAAACCCCCCCACCCCCACCCCCCAGGTCCTCAAAGCTTTGTGTGCCAGGGGCACAACGGGGACCTCCAGAATGCCTGCCTGGGCACGACAGCTGGCGAGAGGGTGGCAGAGGGGGGCTGGGGCAGGTTGTGGGGAAGGAGGAAGGCAGGCATTTGGTGAAGAATCAGCTGCTCACAACATAGGGGTGGCATCTGAAAACTGTGCCTTGGCACTGGCCAGGGCTTTGCCCTACTCTTCAGAGTGGCCCTGCCTCCTGGTCTCACCCCCACCGTAAGGAGGTTCCCAAAGGGCGATGCTGGCCCAAGAGCGGGGGTGAGGGACCCTCTGGCCACTCAGGACAGAAGGAAGAGAGCCACGTCCCCTCCTGCTCAGCCCTCTCCGAGCAAAGGCCGAGCCATGTCTAGGTCTGGGAGTGCTAGCCACGGTCCTCGCTGCCTGCCTCGGTGACAGGTAGAAAAGGGCAATGGTTTCAGGCCCCACTCCCCTATTCTTTACCTTGTTCCATTTTTTTAATTTTTTAAAAAAATTTGTAGCAAGTCAAGAAAACAGGTTTGTGTGTGTGTGTGTAAGAAAGTGCTATTGAGGCCCCTCACCCTCTCTGGTTTGGGGTGCATCCTTCCATACCTTCCTTCCCACTTAGCCTGACGGTGTGTTTAGCAAGAGAAGTTAGTGGCACTCTCTGCTCTGGAGGGAGCACACAGACCTCCTCCCATGCTCCTTGGGAGGGTGACCTCTGTGCCCCTGCACGGTGTGGCGTGAACCTTCTGGTCACTCTCTCCCCTCAGCCCGTCCCTGATTTCCTGGGTCTGGTTGGAGCCTAGCTGATCCAGGGAGAGCAGCCAGGGGACCTAGGGGCAGGTGGCCCACCCCAGGCCTCCTCCACCAGGCCCTGAGGCTGCTCAGACTTGCGGCTGGCGGAAGGGCACAGCCTCAGGACTGGCCTGCAGAGCCAGCCAGGGGCACGTGGTCCCGATCGCTGCCCAGGGGTCTCTGTGATGGATCCCACCCACCCTAGGACCAACTCAGTGTCCACTGAGCCCTCCAGGCCTGGGTCTGGGGAGAAGAAGGAGACCTTAGAATCCACCCCATGGGAGTGGTCCTGGCCCAGCGCGAAGGCCAGGCAGAGCTGCCTGCCCGCGTGTGTGGGTGCGCATGCGCACACCTAGCCCAGGGACAGAAAGATGCCGAGGGAACCCGACAAAGAGATGGAGGAGGGCCAGCGACCGAGGCAGAGACAAATGGGGCTCCAGGAGAGCGCGACAGACAGGAAATCCTTCTAAACCGGGACGCGGCCCTGAAACGTTATTGCTGTTATTACTATTAGCTCCCTGTAAAGGAGCAAGCGGGAGTGAGGCTGGGCGGGCGAGGCCGGCGGCCACGCGCCTCCGGGCGCTGCTGGCAGCCATTTTAGACCTTGGCAGCCATCTTACGGCTGGCGGCCTCAGCCGGCGGCCCCTGACACGCTCAGCTCCGCTCCAGGACAAAAGGCAGAGACGCGGGAAATCTGGACCCAGGCTCAGAGATAGAGGAGCCAGCCCTGCAGCAGGGGCAGCTGCGGGCAGGGCCCCACCGATCTGCTCGAGCGGCGTCCCTCTGCTTCCCCCAGCCCCACAGTGAAAGGGCCAGGGAAGGCCTGGGCCGGCCTGGGGCCACCACCACTCAAGGTAGCTGAAGCCCCCACAGGCCGTCTCCGTGCCCAGGGCCTCCACTAGTTCAGCGAGAGTAGACCCCTGTCCTGACAGGGTGGCAGGCACCTGGGGACACCGAGGGCCATGATGGGGAAGGGTCTTCGAACACCCTGTCAGCCAGGGGCACCTTGAACAGGCAGGGGAGGGCTGGGTCTGCGGTGGCCAGGCTCCCAGGGAGGGCAAGGAGACGGCCTGCCTGGGTCTCGGCCTGCTCTGGATCACCTCAGGCATTAGGAGCTGCGCCCCGGCTGGCGTGCCCCTGCCCCGAGCCTCCTTTCCCTGTCTGGGCTCCCTGGGGAGGGGATAACCCCAGGATTCGGGATTTGGGACAGACAGGAGGAGGGCCCCTTTATGACACCCCTCCCCAGGCCCCGCCTCACGGCTGCCTGGCTTTTATCTGGCAGAATGGGGCTTATCAGAGCCACCAGCTGAACAAACACACAAATCCACGGTTAGTGAGAAAAACCACTCTGCCTGAACTCTTTATCTCCTGTTCGCAGGCCCCGCGCACTGCCCACTGCCAACAGCACAGGAGGGGACCTGACTGCGCCACAGCGGCTCCGTTCTCCGCGGCAAGCCCGCGGCAAAGGTAGAGGGCAGCCTCCCGGACTCTGGCCGTGCCTCCCACTTGGTCTCCACGCTCCATCTCTCGGTCACCCCCTTCTCCCCTCCTCGCCCGAGCCCAGGGTGGCTCTCTCCTGGCAGTCCCTGCTAGGCAGGCGTGCATGAGTGAGCCCCTGCCCACACGGGAGCACCCCCTCCAGTGTCTGCTCTCTCACTGGGGACAATGGGCCAGCTGGTGGCCTGTGGGCTGTGGAGGGGCAGGGACAGTGTTGGCTGGCACAAGGCAGGCAGGTGCCGGGCTCCATCTTTTATCTTTTATCCTCTCTCGCCCAGCCCACGCCCCTGAGGCTGTTTCTCTGATTCTCCCGTCTTCTGGGGCCACATCCCCTGGCAGCCTTTCAGGCCACGGCCTTCTCTCCAACCTGGTTGCCAGAGCAGTGGGGACCCTGACTGCACACCCCCCAAGTTTAGGGCCACCCACTCTCCTTCCTAGCCACCTCTCTCGAGAGACTAGGGCTCCTGCCACTTCCTAGAGAGACTGGAGATGGAATAGAGGGGTGCCACTGCCTCCCCTGAGCCCCACACCAAATAAATGTTTCTCTTTGTGCTGATGGTGAGAGCTCCTTTTACACTCTTGGCTTCTGTGCTCCCACTCGGCCCATCAAATGCAGGCCCCTAAAAACGGAGCCCAGCCACATGTCCGACCAGTGCCCTGGCAATCTGGGTCCCTGCCCCCTGGGCCAGGCTTGGGGAGGGAGAAAATCTCGGAGCCCTCGGCTCATTCTTAATGCTGCTGTGGGGTGCCAGGCCAGCGCGCAAGTGTGTAGCTCTGCTGCTGGCCATCCTCCTCTGGGGACCTGGGCTATGCACAAGATCCACGCCTCCAAGGCAGAGGCCTCCCCTGCCTGTGGTTCTGGCCACGGTGCAGGCTTCCCGAAGGGAGGACGGTGAAGGAACAGGTGATAAATCTGGGCTCTGCAGAACAAGTCTCTGAAATGGTTTGGCTCCCAGTTCTGGGGTGCTCCCCGTGGGTCATTCCTCCGCATCGACAGCTTGCAGGCCAGAGGGCTCGGGCAGCACCCAGACCAGGGCCAGGTCAGCCAAGGGTGGGCAGTGTGGGCCTCTCCCTTATTTGGGCCCTTCGAATCCCCTGGAACAGCCACGAAGCACCCCTACCGCATCACTGCCCTTCTCACCGCCCCCAGCTCCCAGACCTTGCCCTGGCTCCTGGCTCTCACTTTGTTCTGTCCTGGCCCCCCTCCCTCTGTCCTTCCTTTGCCTTCACTTGACCTCTTTCCAGCCCCTTCCCCTCTCCCTTCTGCCTGTTTGCACACGTGTGTACATGTGCGTGTTTCCAAGAGGACTCTGCCTCTTAAGTGGAGCTCTGGAGGGAAAGCTCTAGCAGCCAGGAGGAGCCTGGTGCTGCACATAAACCCCGATTGATAGTGTGTTTTTAATATATATATTTTTCCAGCCACAGACGGGGAGATATTTACAGCTCCCGCTAGGTGAGGGAGGAATTCCTGATCACTGCAGCCAACACTCTGCCTCCGCTCCCGCTTGAAACAAACTTGCTCTGTGAAAGGGGCCACGTGTAACTCACTGGCCAGCAGCCCCCATGGACATTGCCCAGTGAATTCCTTGGGGGCTGCACAGAGAGGGGTGCGCAGATCCGGTCTGGGCCGAACCCACATGTGTGTGCCCAGGCGTGTGTGTACATTCGGGTGAGCGACATTTGTCACACACTCAGATGCACATGCACACCTGGAGGTGCCACCAGCCACTTCTCGCTGTCCAGAAAGGGTGGGTGGAGTAAGATGGTACATGCAGAGCCACCAGAGAGGAGCCCCCTTCGATTCTGCAGGGACTCTGGCCTTTAGGGGTTGGGGAGAACAGCCCTTGGAGTGTGCCTGCCCTTGCCCTGGCTCTCCCTGGGCCTGAGGTTCCAAAAGCAGGTAGGGGTGCACTCTGTTCTGGGGGTGCCCCCAGGCAGCTGCAACACC